TGGTGGTGCAGGACACCTGTTTCTTCCTCACTGTTGGGCCAGAAATGACCTCCCCCAGTTCCTCATCCTTGTAATGGGAACAGTATTGCCCATCCACATGGTTGTTGAAAGAATAAAATGACACAATTATGAGAGTGTTTTGCAAGTTTTAAAGTGTTAGCATTGTTGGAAATTTTGCTTCTTTGATTCTGAACTCAACAAACCTTATTTATTCTTCGTTTTCCTAGCCAGGACAATGTCTCTGGCTCTGAGGACTCAGATGTTCAGTGGATTTTCCCCCAAGTTTTCTCTAATGGGAGTGTTGGTTTCAGGTGTCGATGAGGCAGCTGCTAGGGCTTTCTGTTGCCTGTGGAGGCTGGCAAAAGGAGTTGTGTTGCAAAGCACTATTTCCTTTATGGGAGATATAGCTGAGCCCCTCTTAGCAGTGCCTGGGGAAAGACACCAATGATTAACAGAAAATAAAGACAGGACTTTTGAAGGTGGTTCTTGCAAGGTGTCTGGTGCGTAACAAATCTTCCCAGGCAGACGACTCAATCAATTCACAGGCTTTTATTGGGGTTCCGCTCCCGGGTGAGGTTCCCTGGTCCCAACAGAACAACAGAGCGGGGGGTGGGGAAGTTGCGCATCAGAGATTGGGAGAGCTCCTTTTATAGATTCAGGGCATGGGGGTTAAAGGTTGAGGCGGGTCTGATCCTCACTAGTTGACCTTTAGGCACCTGCAGGGACCTTGACAAGGACTTTCTTCCCCGGAAGTACAGGTAGGAACTTTCCATTCCCGGAAGTGTAGGCCTTCCCTCCTTGCGGATCCCAAAGCTACCAGTTCTGGCTGGAATTAATGACTATTTGGCTTATCTTTTACTTCAGATGATTGATTATGCTTTCCCTTTCCCATTCTTTCCTCTTGCTAGTGTCTTATTTGGGGGACCTACCTTCCATCACTCCTCCACGATGCCCTTCCTCAGCTACTACTAACCCGGCGTGTTCTCTCTCCCTCCCTCCATTTCTCCCTTTCTCTCTTCCCCCCTCTCATTTGTACTCCTATAACACTGTGTTGATAAGACCCTTAGAACCTTTATCATAGTCTGCCTTTACTAAACTATAAAATCCTCAAAGCAAAGAGGTTTTTATACATTTAATATCCAGTAAATGCCTCAGACTGCTGAATTCAAATCCTGGCTCCCCTACTTTCTATGTGACCTAGAGCAAATTACTGAACCTTTCTGGATCTCACTTTACTCGAAAGTACAGTGGTGCTAACAACAGGACCTACACTACAGGGTTTCTAGGAGCACTGCATGTAAAGCTCTTAGGATAGTATTAGACACCTAGCAAGGCCTTGCTGAATATTGGCTGCTTGTATCAGAAACACAACTGGACCACAAGTTTCTGAATCAACTAGGAATTGGGTCCACTGAGGTACACAGGGCAGGGGTCAGGAGGAGGCATGATCTGAGGCTCACAGGGTCTTATGGGCCCTAAGACTACACACATATTGCCCTACTCCTGGCCCAGCATCTCTAGCAAAAAGGTGACCAGGGACATTATTGCAATTCTCTTGCCCTTTGCTTTTCTGAATTATTACTGAGAGCACTAGAGAAAAAGAGGGGACTGACTCATGATGAGTACATTGGGCACTTACTCTGCTTGATGCCCCGTCAGTCCTACCCACTCCAACCAACAGTGGATTGAGAAGCCTTAAAGGGAGAAGAGAGAGGGAATACCAAGGTTCAGTTGTGGGGAAGGGTGAAGAGTGGGTGAATGAGGGGAGGCCAAGACAGGGAACAGGAAGTAGAAAAATAGGAGGAAGGTTGTTCAGAAGGTATTGAAGACAAAGGTGCGACTGGAGGAAACAAGTAGAGATACAGAAGGTAGAAAGGCAGAAGTCCAAGTTTTTTCAGGGGGGTTCGGAGAACAGGAACAGTTAGCCCAGATCCTGTGGGGCTTATATGCGAGAACTTAAAAGGTTCATGAAAAAATAGAATTAAAAGATAAACGTATTTTGGTGCAAAGCATTTTTGAAACCCGTGCATAGTTGTTTCATGATATGAATTTTCATCAACTTTTTGAAGACCTCTTGTATGAATGGATTTTCTTTTATCTTTTCTCGCACCAAAATAGACTTCTTTTAATTCCATTTTCTCTGAACCTTTTAAGTTCTCTCCTAGGTCTCAGTTTTAGCACTTAAGTTGGGTCATGGCTTTGGGGATGGAGGGTGGGGTGGAGAAGGAATCTGGCCACCAGGTGGCAGTGGTGCCCCAGTCACATGTTCAGAGCCAGCTTGGACAGCCCATCTCTCTTCCCTTATTTGTCACCAAGTTAAGTGTTAACACATTGTTGAACTCAGTATTAAACAGTAACACTGGGTCATTCTTATTGGAGGAGTTTTGAAGAAAAGCAAAGCTAGGTACCAATAGGTATATTTCTCTGTATGCCATGACTATTTTCCATCATAGGTAATTAGAACTAAGGAATTCCAGCACTTTTTAGGTTCAAGGGAGGAGAGTCAGGGACCCAAAGAGCACTGGGCTCTCCAGCTGTGGTACCTTATGCATTTATGCATTGAAATGCAAATGTGGGAAACAGGATCAATGTCAATTTTCCAAAAAAAATCCCAAACCCAAAAAACTTCCCTTTAGAATCTGGATGGGTGGTCTTTCACTCAACAGGAGCACACACTATTTTTTTTAAATTTTTTATTTAGTAAATATAAATTTCCAAAGTACAGTTAATGGATTACAATGGCTTCCCCCCCCCATAATTTCCCTCCCACTCACACCCCTCCCATCTCCCGCTCCCTCTCCCATTCCATTCACATTAAGATTCATTTTCATCTTTACTTAATGTATACTAAACTGATTTTCTGTAAAAAAAAAAAAAGAAGAAATTATCAGTTCCCAGCTTGACTCTCACTGGGATTAAACATGACAACAGGTCTGATCTGATTTCATCATCATTTAAAAAATCATCTATTATTTTTCACTTTATGTTTGTGTGGGAGCAAACTGTTGAAATCTTTGCTTAATGTATGCTAAACTGATCTTCTGTATATAAAGAGAATCAAAAATGAATCCTCATGTGAATGGAAGGGGAGAGGGAGTGGGAAAGGGGAGGGATGTGGGTGGGAGAGACGATATGGGGGGGAAGCCATTGTAATCCATAAGCCGTACTTTGGAAATTTATATTCATTAAATAAAAGTTAAAAAAAAGATTCATTTTCAATTATCTTTATATACAAAAGATCAGTTCAGTATATATTAAGTAAAGATTTCATCAGTTTGCACCCACACAGAAACACAAAGTGTAAAATACTGTTTCAGTACTAGTTATAGCATTACTTCACATTGGACAACACACTAAGGACAGATCCCACATGAGAAGTAAGTACACAATGACTCCTGGTGTTGACTTAACAAATTGACACTCTTGTTTATGGCGTCAGTAATCTCCCTAGGCTCTAGTCATGAGTTGCCAAGGCTATGGAAGCATTTTGAGTTCGCTGACTTAGATCTTATTCCGACAGGGTCATAGTCAAAGCGGAAGTTCTCTCCTCCCTTCAGAGAAAGGCACCTCCTTCTTTGATGACCCCATTCTTTCCACTGGGATCTCACTTGCAGAGATCTTCCATTTAGGTCTTCCTTTTTTTTTTTTTTTGTCCCCAGGGTGTCTTGGCTTTCCATGCCTAAAATACTCTCATGGGCTCTTCAGCCATATCCGAATGCCTTAAGGGCTGATCCTGAGGCCAGAGTGCTATTTAGGACATCGAGCACACATTTTTGATATGTTCTCTCTATAAGTTTGCTCTGTGAACACTGACAGAACACAATTTCTACCTTGACAGGCCTCTGTGACTCTTTCATTCAGAATTGTGGAGGAAACTTTATATAATGCATTCCTTTAGGGGATGTCACTGAGGTTTTTTCTTTTTTTTCACCAGCTCTGTTTTATCCCAATTTAGACAAACTAGACACACACACACGGCCCATATTTGGGTTGGACGTTTAAAAGTTTAAGAAAATGACATGAGTGGGTTGATTATAACTTTAACCTCAAGGACTTGAGAATGAGGCAATTCTAATTTTTAAGAAAACAAGGGTAAAAAAAGTTTCAGTATTCAAATGCCAATCATATTCAGATGTACAAAATTATTAGGCTAATGTCTCAAAAGAAATTGCTAAAATTTAAGTAAATTCTTTTTAGAGCTTCAAAACCCTTCCAAATTTCAAAGTAAAATTTATCTTGTTTTAAAGTAAAATTTGAAATTTAAAAATAAAATAGATAAGAAATTTACCAATATGGAAGGCCACCAGAATTCTGAAAATGAGTTTTGATAGGTAATTTCCGAAGCTCAAAAAGGACTGCAAAATAGAAGCATTTCTCTCTCCAAAAGATAAACTATCCAACCTCTGAATTCTTTCCATTGTGTTTTTACTGTGTCTTCTCTTCTGTCTTGCTCTCTCATTTAGCCTCCAGTTTATCTTCCCTTTATCCTTCCTATTCTCCAACATCTTTTTTTCTTATCTTGTGTTTTCTTCCATTCATTTTCTCTCTTCTTATTTCTTGCCTCTTTTTAAAAATCCATCCTATCTACTTCATTATGTCTTTGCCTCACTTTCTTTGCTCCCTGCTCTTACCTGATCGTACCAAGGAACAAAAATACATGCATATAAACATTCCCAGTTATTTCTTGGAGTGGTTTACATTTTCTATTAGTTATTATCAAGGCAGGCACATAGGAGTTCTGTTTCTCTCTCAAAAAGGTAAGTCAAGTGGCTATTCATTTGTGTGATATTCCCTGTCCTTTCTTGTGCTGTGATGGTCAAGGGGCATGAAAATAGGAACAGGGTTAGCTTCCACATATGACGTAGTAAAGGGATCCCACCACTTTCTCCTTGTTTCCAAGGCTCTGTTGGCTCATTAACGCCAGAGGGGTGAAACAGCATGGATGATTTCCAGCCAGGCTTCCCTTCTCAAGTATTCTGTTTCATGATTTTTTAAAATAGGCTGATTTGCTTCTCCTATCAAGTAGTGAGCCACATGGTCTCTGTTACATCGAAACTGCTGAGCTTGATGGGTAAGTTACTAACATTAGAGTCATTAATCAGATTGGGTTTCAATTTATCTAAATGTGATGTCTTTAGATATGAGACTTAAACTTTCTTATTTTTAGCAAGACAAGCCGTCCAAATTGCAAAGTCTATTGTTCATTACTCTGCAGTAATTTTGAAAATGTCTTTTTTTTTTTTTGGAAGTTATTTTGGAGTCTCTGTCTTGGGTTAACTTTCTTTCAGAAACAGTGAGCTGAACATGTATTCATGAAAATTTTAGACTGGGGCACCTCAGTGAGATTCTTTAGAAGTTTTCAACCTAATTTCAAGTGATTTTTCTAAGAAAATGAGAGTGTTGGAGATCAAGATTCTGTGAGGAAGGAAGGAATGATGTTACCTTAAAAGGCAAGCTTTTGGGACTGTATCAAATAAAGATGTAGAGAAAGGAGAGAGAAATGCATGATGATGCAATTTTGACATTGGCATTAATTTAGTATATAGTTATGGATTGCATGGCAGTTCTGTTTCAGAGAACCCGATGACTTACATTTTAAAGTGACAATATGTGTGTATTCTTTCAATGGATTTGATCATTTACTGCTGATGTAAGTACTATATAAGCCCTATTGTGCATACAGTGACACTAGCATCAACAGAGGCTGAGTTTGCTCAAAACTTTTGAAAGTGAAGCCAGGACTCAAGCCTTGCAGTCTAATACCAGAGCCCATGGTTTGAAACGTTGCCTCCCAAATCATTGCCATATTGAGCTATTCAAATAGTTTGGCCTGTGTGGTCCTATTTCTGGTTTAAGCACACCAAACAGATAAAACCATGTTGGCAGGAAAATTATAGCCCTAAATATATACAGTTGAAAAGAGAAAAAAATTCAAGTTAATAATCTAATTTCCTATTTTAATTACCTAGAAAACAAGATAAACACAAAGCAAGCAGAAGCAAAGAAATAATATATATTAGGATAGAAATCTATAGGCTTGAAAACAAAAATAATCAAGAAAACCATGGAAATAGGGCTAGGTCTTTGAAAACTCAATGCAATTGACAAACCTTTGGGAAGACAGAGAGGGAGGGAGGTCAAGAAGTAGGGAGAGGGCTGGCGCCGTGGCTCAATAGGCTAATCCTCCACCTAGCAGTGCCGGCACACCAGGTTCTAGTCCTGGTCGGGGCGCCGGATTCTGTCCCGGTTGCCCCTCTTCCAGGCCAGCTCTCTGCTGTGGCCAGGGAGTGCAGTGGAGGATGGCCCAAGTGCTTGGGCCCTGCACCCCATGGGAGACCAGGAGAAGCACCTGGCTCCTGCCATCAGATCAGTGCAGTGCACCAGCCGCAGCGCACCGGCCGCGTTGGCCATTGGAGGGTGAACCAACGGCAAAGGAAGACCTTTCTCTCTGTCTCTCTCTCACTGTCCACTCTGCCTGTCAAAAAAATAATAAATAAATAAATTAAAAAAAAACAAAAGCTGGAAACAACTCAAATGTCCTTCAGTGGGTGAATGGTTGAACTAACTGTGGTACACCCAAATCATAGAATACTACTCAGCAATTAAAAGGAATGAACTATTGATAGGTGCAACAACCTGCATGAATCTTCAGAGAATTATGCTTAGTAAAGTAAGGTCAATCATAAGGTCACATACTATATGCGTCCAATTTTATACAATCCCTGAAAAGGCACATTTATAGAAATATAGGACAGATGAATGTTTTCCAGATATTTAAGATGGGGTTTTGGGGAGAGTAGTGGGTGTAGCTATATGTTCTGTATCTTGACTGTGTAAATGTCAATATCTGGGTTGTGATATCAGAATACAGTTTCTATGATATTAACGCGATGCTAATATCAGGTGAAACTGAGTAAAATCATATATGATCTTTCTGTATTTTCTTATGCTGAAAGTTGCTTTGAAGTTCATGAAGACACCCAGGCAGATTAAGGAAAGTTGTGAGAAAAAACCAAAGGCATCAACCAGGAGTCTTGAAAAGGTTTTTTTAAACCATCAATAAGGCATATGTGTGATTATTATTCTCTTTTTAGTTTTCATATTTTAAGGTAAAAAATATTAGAGTGAATCCTGAGGAAATGACTCAAAATGATACTACACCTTGTTGATTGACATGTAGAGTAGGTTAAAGAACCAGGGCTATCTGACTTAGTTGATGAGATGGGCTGTATCAAATCTCCGACTATTTTAAATGGATGGACATAGTTTAAATGGATGTGGATGGGTATATTGGTTCTTTGACCTCTACAGCACCCATCTCATTCTTGTCCATCAAGCCAAGTTTCATTCCTGCCTCATCTATGAAGTTCTTCTTGACCATTTCACTTCCTACTACTCTTACCTCCTAGGAATTGGCAGATTTTAATGAATGAGATTGCTTTTTAATAAACTAAGTTAAATTATCTATCCAACTGGTATTTCCTGAAGAAAGTGATTTCACCAGTGGTAATTCCTTGAGATGGGTTTCACTGTCCTAATACTACATTGAAAGTTATTTATAGAAATTTAGATTGAATGTCCTCCTGGGAATCTGTGTCTCAGTTCTCTAAACCCAATTATTTCATGAGTTGGCATGTAATCCAACATAGTGATACTGGATTTTTTTTAACCTTCTGCTTGTTTCCTTCAAGAGTATGATAACTGTTTTGGGTCAGCACTGACTTTACTGGGGGACTATGGTATATATCCAATCAATGCGTGTTGTCGAAATGAACCCACTACTAAACATTTACATAGAAGATGGAAACCTTGACAGATTATCTTAAACTACAGAAGAGGGAAATTAGGTTGAACGCATTAACTAAATTGGGATGGAGAGCCCTTAAACACAAGAAAGGCATGATGGTTTTAGAATCTTCACTGCGGGCCATTTCATGAACACCAGACGGCTGTTTATACAATATAGCATGATGATTTACTGTGACCGGCAAAGCTTTTCTGGTTGTACTAGTCTAAGGGGTTTCTTGGATTGAGTCTCTAAGAAAAAGAAAGCTGTATTCCTTTTCCTGTTTAAATTTCAGCTACTGTGAAATAACCATGATTGTATTTTACATTTAAAACTCCCAAATAGACGTAGACTCTGAAGTGATATTGGCCTCCTTGACTGGGCAACTGTGTTCCTATTCCTCCTGTGTTTTATGACTCACCCATGATGCCTGAGAAGGTGAGAAGGAAACCATGTTTATTGTGTTCCTTCAGAGTGCAAAACAGATGACTGTGTTGTTATGCAGATTTCTATGGGTGGAGCCTGAGAAGCCCTGCCCACTTCCCTAGACAGAGTGAGAAGCTTGGATGACATTCAAGTAAGGGGTTTCGTGGACATCTTGAGTAGGTTTTGCACTTGCTGTTCCCTCCTGATTGCTTTGGTAGTTTGCTGTTGGGCTGTTCCACATGAAAATCCTTGTCACATCATTAATCTTACAGGGAAACAAACCTGAAAGTTCGTCACGCACTCTCAGTTACCTCAGAACTTGGAGCAGATATTAGCAGACTCGCGAGATTTGACGGTAAGTGCTTTAATCAGACAAACAAACAATGCCATAACTGAAAAACAACATCACAAACTCATTATCTAAGATCTACTCTATGTTTGTTTTTATTTCTGGGAGGACATAGAAATCTCTAGGCACAAAAGTCTAACATCTCACACTAATGAGTTTGGGAAAAGGAGAATGGCTTTATCAACTCATCATTCATTTCAATTATATTTAGGTTGCCCTTTTAGGACTCCATATAGATCGGTTCTGGCTTATTAAGAATCTTCATAAACTCGAAACTCTCTTCCAAGATGTTTTCTTTGGAGTTACCTAAAGGAAAATGTTGATAAAGTTTTTAGCATGATCCTATGAGTTACAATACTGGCAAGTTTACATTATAAATTTCTGAATGCACAGCTTACAGTTTATATTGTCTGTGCTTTGCATTAGCTTATAAACTTTGTCTGGTTTCTGTTAATATTTTAATTTCTCTTAAATAAGTTCTGAAATAACAAATGTAAAGGAGTAGCCAGGAAACTTTGACCCAAGAAATATTCTGATTAGATTAAAAAATTGTGCATCTTTTACTAAGTAATTTTTTCAATGAAATTTTACTGTTATGTGAGTCCAAGAGAAGTAAATTATGTTCATGAGTCAAAATACTTGCTTAAAATTCCTCGTTGAATATTTATGGAGTCCTAAAAGGGCAACCTAAATATAATTTACTATTACTCATTTCTTTCCTGGCAAAAGAGTGTATTTATACTTCTGTCAGTCTATGAGGAGATAGAAACTCATGATTTTCAATGTTCTTAACCTTCAAGAAGAACATGGTTGTTTCAATTATTTAGTTCTCTTTCATAGATGTTGGCACAGATGACCCACACTCTGTTGCAGTTTCAAACAGTGCTGGAATCTCAGTAGTGTAAACACAGTTGAGGTTTATTTCTTGCTTATTTCACATTCTGATGTGGCTTGGGTGGCTTTCTCCACTCTGTAGCCATGGTACGTACATTGATGGCGTCTGAGGTAACCATGTCAGGGTAGGGTGAGATAAAAGAGATATACTGGCCTTTTAAAAAAGATTTATTAACATTTGAAAGGCAGTGTTATAGAGAAAGAAGGATAGACACAAGAGGCGTGGTGGTGGAGAGAGGAGGAGAGATTTTCCACTCATTAGTTCACTCCCTAAATGGCTCCATTGGCTGGGGCTGGGCCACACCAAAGCCAGAAACTTGGAACTCCACCTGGGTCTCCCATGTGTGTGGCAGGGGTCCATGTGCTTGCATCATCCTCTGTTGCTTAACCAGGCACATCAGCAGGGAGCTGGATTGAAAGTGTAGCAGCTGGGACTTGAACCTTCACCCATATGGGATGCCACCATTGCAGGTGGTGGTCAATCCGCTGTGCCACAGCACTGACCCCAAGACACACTGGCATTTAACTGTTTCTCCCTTTCATATTTCATTGGCTAGCATGAGTCACCTGGCCCTGATTTAACTGTGAGAGAAACTAGGGAAGAACAAATACAGATATTTGTTGAGCACTAATTGTCTCTACCACACCCTCAAGAATTGTGACCATGCAGGCCAATGGCATGATAATGATAAAGGGAAAGGCAGAATTAGCTGGAGTTCTTTTTTTGATTTATTTATTTATTTATTTATTTGACAGGCAGAGTGGACAGTGTGAGAGAGAGACAGGGAAAAAGGTCTTTTACATGGAACTGCAGGATTGGGGCAAGCATTCTCTTTGTCAGCATGACTCTCCATCTACCATACCCTGCTTCCCATTTTCTTATTCTTTCTTTTTTTTAAAGATTTTATTTTATATATTTGAAAGACAGAGTTACAGAGAGGTAGAGACAGAAAAGTCTTCCATCCGCTGGTTCACTCTCAAAATGGCTGCAACGGCTGGAGCTGTGCTGATCTGAAGCCAGGAGCCAGGAGCTTCCTCTGGGTCTCCTACGTGGGTGCAGGGCCCAAGCACTTGGGACATCCTCCACTGCCTTCCCAGGCCATAGCAGAGAGCTGGATTCGAAGAGGAGCAGCCGGGACTAGAACCGGGGCCCACATGGGATGCCAGCACTTCAGGCCAGGGCTTTAACCCACTGCACCATAGCACCAGCCCTCCCCCCCACCATTTTCTTCTTATGGCCCTAGTCATGCTCTGACATAGTATACTTGTTTTATTTATTTACTTATTTGGCTTTAACAACAGACTTTTTTTTCCCCCTTCACAAATATGGTGGCTGAGAATCCAACATCAAGATGTCAGCAGTTGATTTCTCTTAAGGACTCTTTCTTCTTGGCGTGCAAATGGCTGCCCTCTTTGCCTGTTCTCCTGGTCTTTCCTTCGTGCCTGTACATCTCTGTTACCTCCTTTTTTGTATAGAGATACCTGTCATATTGTTTTTATTTTCAAAGTTTCTTGTTGGTGGCCCGTCTCTGTCTGCATCAGTGGAAGCTACATGGGGCCTTTATTTTGTTCACTTATGTATGGCAAACTTCTAGCACTACACCTAGCACATAGTAATTATTCAGTATATCCTTGCTGCATGCATGCATGAATGAATGAATGCTCAAAAGTGCTAGGGGTTGGTGGGGCAGGGCAGGATCAGCCTAAGGCACCAGAAACACACAGGAGGGTGGAGGAAGGGTCCGAGATAAAGAGGTTGGGGAAGGAGTGGGAAATGATGGGGTGAGGAGGGAGAGTCTGATGGGGCCTCAGAGGAACCAGAAGAGTGCAGGGTTCCTTCCTCCTGGAGGGCGGGCTCCTGGGAGAGTGGTTATCTGGTGTGGTGGTTTTGTATGTCTTCATTTCTGAATCCTTTCTCTAAGCAAAATTGGACAGAGTAGCCCCTGATTTAAACTTATCCTGGTGATGCTGCCCAAGCTGAAGCCAGGAAATAGTCCCTCACCTAGAAATTCCTTTAAGGCCTTTGGGTAACAAGTTTGGGGGCTTAAAGCTCTTGTCTGTATATAAAAGTAGTCTTTTTAAAATGCTTCATACAATTAAATTTTAAAGTGCATTAATAGGTATCACTTTCTAGGTGAAATCTAAATTTGCCTCAGGAAGGATAAGCAATATACTAAATTCTCAGTATAATTGTTTTCCCAAATAAAGGCAACAGAAGACCTCTGTTTTACTTTATAGCTTTTCTGACAAACATGTCAGACTCATAAGGCTGGCACACTTCTAGGCTAAGGAAAAGGTTGTGCTGAATTTAATATTTCATTCTTAAATCTTGGGTTGTATTTCAATCTAAAAGTCCAAGACAACACGCTGTTTTATGGTTTTATCCTCGTTAAAATGATTTCCTATTTCCATGAAAGGATCTGATTGGATTAAGGGGAAATTAATTTGATGCAATATACAAATTAGATTTTCCTGTTAGCAGCCAAGTTTAAAGACAAAGAGGGTGTCTGGTGTAAGATGTGGTATGAAAAAAGTCTTTAGAAGAGTTGGGACAGTTAACAAACCCACCCTAAATCCTTGCCACAGTTGCTTTTTCCAGTGGCCCTAATTTTTCCCCTTTCCCCTAGATCTACGTCTTTCCAAGTCCCACATACTGTGATTTCAGTCTGTCTCACTCTACGTACATCCACTCACTAACTGCAGTATTTCCCTACCCAGTTTCACCATCCTCCTCTTTCCTTCCATTTTTGCTTTCATACTATTCTCTTCCCATCCTCGTCTTCCCTTCCTTGTGTTAGTTTTTTATGTCCTTTGTTTGGTATCTCTTTTTCTGTCATTCTTAATCTTTTCTATTTTTATCACTCTTACCATATTGATTCATTTATGCACTTATTAATATCTCCTAAGGACTTCATACAAAATGAAGTATATGGAATAGCAACATATCTCCATATGTATTATCCAGGTTCTTTTGATCCTTTCATCCTACAATTATTTTCCTATCCCTTAATTTTGTTTAATTTATTTAACTTGTTTTAACAGAGTGTCAGTAGATTACAGATTTTCCTCTGGTGACTGGTAAAAGATTTCCTTGAGTCATAGAAATCCAGACCAGATATTGCACCATTTTGTTAATTAGAAGTGTGATATCAGCGTTGTGTACATTGGGAAATGTGTGGCAAGGAAGAGTAGATGAGATAGATGGTGGGGGTGCACCTTCCCCATGTTTTGTCTGTGCTAAGTAAATCTTATAGCTTGTGACTTCTGGGCAAATCTCGGTATGACATTATTTTTGATTCTAAGACTCTGTGGTTTTGCTTCTGGGACTTGCCAAAATACTTTCTCTCACACCAAATCACAGCTTTCCGTCCTTGTATTATAAGTGCACATCTTCCGAGAATCCAAAGATGTGTCTTTCCCACTCTTTTTCCTAGAGATGTCTCCACTGGGGACCCCAAAGTGGGGACATCTAAGGTCAAAACTGAGATGGTCTGAATCTCGGGATGCCTCTGGCAAGTCTCTGTGTTTCTACTTTGGCATCTGTACCCAAGGTCAGTGCGTCCTGCAGCTCACCCATCACTTATCCATCCATCCATCCATTCATTCACTTACAGAGGCAAGTCAGATGCAGGCCTTGCTCGCACAGAGCTTATAGCCCAGGGGAGAAGAGAAGCTTGAGAAAGGCTTCTCCCCAGAGAAGCCTGAATAAGGTAAAAGTCCTAAAGTTCTCAGGCACTAACCATGATGTAGTATGTGTATCAGTCACTGTGCTGCGTAATTACATAATCTTACTAAATTATTACAGCTCTTGAAGGAAGATATTATTTGCTCCAATTTATGGATGAGACCCAGATAAATTGAATAACTCTTACAATGTCAGATGGCTACTAAATAGAGGAACCAGAGTAGGAACCCCAGATTACTGGCAAACGCAATTCTACAAAGGACATAGACTCTCAAGTTCTGATCTACAAGCAGAAAGACAGCATTGGACAATTAGGGAAATTTAGCACAGCAGCTTAGCTCCTGATCAGGGTAAGAAATAATTTTTAAGAATATTCTAAACCTAAAGATGCAAAATTAATTTTTGAAGATCAAGTCCACCAGGACTAGGATGATATCATTTTAATGAATAAGTCTTAAAAATAAAAAAAATAGCAATGTTCTCAGTAAGTTTGAATGCCAGGATCTCTGACAAGAGTTTATAGAAGAGATTGGAAAACATGGAGAACAGTACCCACAAGACAAAATTGCATTTCTGTAGATAAACCCAATTACTTGAAATTTCTCATATTAATATTTTTATAATTTTTATACATTTCAAATATCAGGAAAATATTGGGATGCAGCTTGTTGAATTTTAGAAGAAAAGATACATAATATGTAATATTATCACAGATACATAAAAATAAATTGAGTTGGCTTTGGTTTCTCATGTTAAATTCTTATGGGGAATTGAACAACTTTTACATGAACTGGAAATACTTGTCAATTGCACATTTGTAAACTGGACATTCTTATGCCTTGGGGAAAGCCCCGGATGTAAATTGTCCAAATGTGTTTAAGAATCTTTTGCATATTGTTACTGACTGGACTGAGATCTGTTTTTTGCAACTCATGACAAGTTTACATATTTTGTGTGACTGTTAATACGGATTTCTGAACCAGGGAAAGGTTGACTCTTTATTCAGGAATCTTTGTGTATTTTGTGGTCCCTTCTAAAGAGTATCATGTGTGTATTTAAAACATACAAAAATAAGCATCTCTTTTTTGGTTAAAAAAAAAAAAGCCTTGGTTAACGTCTTGTGACTTACTTTTGCCTAACAGCTAGCTTTCACACTCACCTAGACAGAAGCACAGCTTGACAACACAGCTTATGCAAGAGGCAAAGATTTTGTGGAAAAATGTGAAGAATAACTTTCCTCTTTACTGCTGGTGCTGACGTGGCCCTTCCAGTGGTAATGAGGAGAATAGCTGAGGCTTCATGGTTGAAGCATAAAGAGGTTTTAGAAAATACCCAGGTGATAACCTTTCTTTTTAAGAAAAAAAAAATGTGTATTACAACCATCAGGGCAGTCTCCTAAATGATGAGAAGCCCCTGGTTAGAGAAATTTTTGAATAGAAATAATGTCGTCTTAGTGGATAATTTGTCTTCTGAAAGAATTACACTGCGGCTAATCCACAAATAATGCTGGTGATAGTAATAGAGCATACAGAAAGAAACGAAGCCGACTTTGCCAGAAGGTCATCAAACGTTGGTTACTATGTGGGTGATAAAACTTCAGTCGCCCGCTATGAGAGCATTCAGAAACTGCATGGAAAGTGAATACTATGCATGAACCTCACGTTTTTGCACCAAAATAAACATCTTTTAATTCCATTTTCCATGAACTCTTTGAAGTCCCTTTACACTTCAAATTTATCAACTTGATAATTATTCAACAATGTAGCTGATTAAATTTAGAGTGCCTAAGAAGGCCTAGAGCATTTATGTGTGATTGTAAAATAGATGAGTTGCTATTCACTTTCACCCTTGGGCCAGACAAATGCAGCTAGCTACTTTGATATTTCAGCTTCATTATTGACATGATTTTTCCCCAGTTGTATTATTGCCCATAAAGATGATTTTTTGCTCTAAACATGTATTCAGTAAATGATTATTGTAAGAAATGATCCTATTTTTGTTACCTGTTTTCCTTATCAATTCTCAAATTGACCTTTCTCTTCATTGATATAATTAGCAAAAGGAAAAAAAGGATCACAGAGATTTTTTTAACCTAGTTTTTATTATGCTTTATGGTGAGGATCTATTTTTAGTTGCTTCAAATATGCTTTAAGCTACTAAATTTTTTCCGTGTTCTCAGATCAATTTGGCTCCCATTAGAATTAAGCCAGCCGAAACCCTCTATTGCACCTGTTCTACTTGGTCTTCCAGTTCCCTTTCTCATTATTGCCATGAGAATCACTTCATTTTCCCCATTCCCGTTATCTTACATTTGTTATAATACCCATGTCGTCCCCCTCTTTGTCCCTTGAAAGCATCTGAAATCTTTTCCATTCATCTCTGTTATATTAAGGGCCTGTTATAGCAATATTATGGTAGATTACAGGAATACAGAGGTGAATGTAATGCTCCCTTCAAAAGAAATTGCTCACTTCTTTTAGAAAGGGTCAGAATAGAAATTGGGAAGCTTGTATTTTATGCTAAGAGACGGCAAAAAGGGAACCTCAAGGGTTCTGATGACCAAAAAAAAAAAAAAAAAAAAAAGTTTGGCTTTGTTTCTGCCCTTTTGTTTTGACTTGGTCCTGTATTTAGTACTTAAATCACTGGGACCACACTCTTTGTGAAAGCTGAATTGAGGATTGGCCTCCAAGAACCCCAGCAGAACTCCTTGGCCTTTCTGCCTGTCTAGACCACACCCTTGGTGTAAGGCCAGAAGTGGATGAGCCTTGGGGCCAGAGAGTGGCTGGCCAACTTGTTCAAGGCTGTAGTTGCCTCCATGACAGTCTTTGCTTACGAAAATAAAAATGATCAAATGAGCCTGTTTTTCATATTCCTATTGGCAGGGACTGCATATTATGTTGTTTTTGCCCAAAGCACATTCCACCATCCCCTACCCCGACCGCCCACCCGCTGCTCTGCCAAGTGGTCAAATTTGAAGCCCTAGAAATTGAGTCCTGGGTCAAGAAATTGGAATATTAATCAACTCTGTTATTTCATGTAGGTTTTCCTGGTAGTACTCAAGGTTATACAAAATTCGGGAATGAAAATTATGGGTCAAGAGAAAAGATCGTGACTTCTGAGAAATCAGAAAAGTTCCCATCCACAGTTGTAGTCGTCCAAACAACTTGAGGCAATTTAAATCAGCCTTAATTTACTTTTTAGTATCCATGGTAAGCTATAATGAGAACTAACCAGTATCCAGCCACTTCCTTTACTATAAGCAATGACTTGGTTCGGCTTACTGTCTTAGCTAACTCCTGCCCAGAACCCTCTCAGTTACCAGTAGATGCCTGGGAAAATGCTTGGGAAGCCAACAGTGAGTGCCCACGTTGGGGGTCTTCTGGTTATACTGGGGAAAGGTGAGCACAGTTTGGTAAAGCAGTCCTGAAGCCAAGAGCCACTCATTCCTTTCAGGGTTTAGTTTATTTGTTTCTGTTTTTTTTTTTTTTTTTTTTTTTTTTTTAGTGCAAGGTCTGTTAAAATTAGCAATCTGGTTAGTCAGGAGTGACCATACCATGTGAAAACTGGCTGCTGTCCCCTTTGTCGAAGAACTTTAAAAGCAAAGCAGCAGCCTCGGAAAGAAGGCACTGGAGGTAGGCGGTCTGCAAGTTGGGCAGGCACTTGGAGAAGAGTGGAGGCGTGGCAGGAAGGGGGTCTCCCTTTACCGTCAGTCAATGCTGAAGGGAAAGCTCGCCTTTTATTTTCCAAACACTTTTATGTTTCAACCTTTCCTTTGGACTTCTGGTTAAATGCATGTATTTTGCATTGTTTCTGAGTGAGTGAAACTTATAGTCGCTAATCTCATATCGGACTTTGCCCTGAACCTTGACTGGATCTACTCACAGCCCCTTTTTCATTCCCACCCTCTCTTTCCTTTCCCCTCATTCCCTCTTTCCTTCCCTCCTTCTTCTGTTCTTTTATGTCTTTGCACTCATTACTTGTAACCCCTCTTGTTTGCAATGCAAATGTGTATTAATCTAATAGTTATGTTTTGTGACAGGGTTCATCAAAGATTATTTCTGGTTTTTCTATCTAGAGAACTGCCTGCACCCTAAATGTGTATTTTCTTATTGAAATAATGGAACGAATTGATTCATTGATTTGGAATGGGCATGCCCGTGGCTTTGGAATGGGCTTGGAATTGAAAACACTAGAAACATCTTCTGGCCAGTTTGGGGCAAGTTATATGGTGCCTTTGTGAGCCCCCAGAACTCTGAATCTAATCAAGATACGAAGCATAGCACAGCTGAAAGGAATCACACGCATTCTCAGACACATGTGGCAAACAAGGCCCAGGTTTCTCTGTGGTGGGATATAGGATCTCCGAGATCCTGATTAGGAGACTAGAGAGATGATTAACTTATGTTGTGAAACTGGACGTATGCCATGTCAACCTGACAGTTCACATTACGTTAAAACAAAAACTTCTAGAACACTCATCGCTTTATCTTTTCAAAAATCATTTGCTACAAACTGGAAGTAAAGATAAATGATTTTCCTTAAGGGCAAAGAAATCTCATGGCTCTTGAGGTTTCTGTTCTTATTTGGATAGCACAGAGAGCTATGTTTCAAAAAGGGTTCTCCATCGCTGTACCTCCCGGCTCATTTTCCTAGCACGATCCTGGATACGGAACAGGGTGATGTCTAAAAAGGAAGAACACATATACTGTATATTAAAAGTATGGTGGTAAAACGGGAGTGGGGGCCTCCAGAGAGAGTTCGAGGTGAGGTATAAAGAGGTTTCTTTTTCTATTTTGCAGGGACTGTGGTCTGCGAGGCACCCAACAACAAATTAGATAAATTCACAGGAGTCCTCACTTGGAAAAACTGCAAGCACCCCCTCAACAATGAGAAGATCATACTGAGAGGCTGCATCCTGAGGAACACTGGCTGGTGTTTCGGAATGGTTATTTTTGCAGGTACAGCTGACTTCCCAAAGCCACACCGAAGTGTGCTTTCCCGTGACACACATCAGCGCAGCCCATGCTTCTCCAGGTGTGGCTGAGCACGGGTGTTTTCCTTCCGTGCAAAGTGCTGCTCTGCAGTTGACTTTGGAGAGCAGGAACCTGGGGGAGGAAGGTGCCACTGATCTGAAAGTAGCTGAGGTGGTCCCAGTGTGCCAGGAGCCCTTGACACCCTGAACTTACTCTTCAGAATGCTTGGGATCTTAGGTGCACAGTGGGTTTTAGATTCCCACTGTTTAATTTCTCTTTCTTAAACCCAATCTGAAGATTTCCTGTCACTGTATGTATTAATCAGCCACCCCTGAAGTGAGGGACGAACATGAAAGAGGATGCCTCATTCTGCTGTCAGTGTGGTGGTTTGGAAAGGCCAAGCAGCCCTTTTGGAAAAGCCGCCTCTGCGATCGTGCAGTCATTCCTGTTTATGCGTCATAGCTGCTGCTGCTGTTTGTAAACAGGACAATGGGTTCTGGAAAGACAGGGCATCATGGGAGTGGGGTGAAGGGAGGGAGGCAGAGTGCCTGCTACTCTTCTCGCCTGCCATCTTTCCCTTCTCTATTATGCTGCTGTGGCCCCAAGGTGGCACACTCCTGCTGAGGAAGATTTCAGTAGCACCATTTCGTGAAGCCACTGAAATTGTACTCGTGACTTCAGTTGCCAGCCTTTGATTTAAAAAATCCTGTTTATTGTGACACCAAATTAAGATGTGTTCTGGGTCCAGTGACTATATGTGCAATCAAAATCGGGATGTTTTTTCTTAACTGACTTTCCTCAACAACAAAATGTTCATTAAAGGCTCAGACAGGTTCCAAGTCTCGAAAAGTCTTCCCAATTCCTCCTAAATACTCTCAGCTGTGCATGTTAACAGGGCTTTTGCTGCTCGAGGCATTGCCATTGTAAGGACTTGGGAAATCCCTAGAAGGGAGACAGAAGATGTGCTTTTATCTGGGGGTGAATCTGGCTTCATGACTTTGATCAGCTGCTTTTGTTCTGCAGTCAGGGAAATTATAATCATATATTTCCTTATTTTCATGGTATTTTTTTTTGCAGGACAAAAAAAAAGAGCTAAACTTACCCATAAACTTCCTTTCACTTAATGACTAGGAGATTTCTTGAAGGTCCCTTCTAGCTTGTTCCCTGTCATCACAAAAATGGGGAGTGTCTTATTGTAGGGATGAACCATAGCCCAGAATTTCATTTACAGTTGTATGATCCTGTTTGGAATGACTAATTCACAACTCTATTTAACTAGAGAATGTTATACTAGAACAACTGTTGAAAGGCACAGCAGGGTCAAGTTTTTCTTTATCAGTTTGTCTCTATGGGAAGATACTCTTACATAAAAGACCGTGAGATGGTAAATTGAATGGGTCTCCCTCTAAGAGAACAACAGAAAGTTCATAAAATTTGGGTTGGGCAGATCTGAGTTCAGATTTGTTTATCAGTTGTAGAACTATAAGCCTTGGTTACTTAAACTTCCAGAGCTTTGGATCCTTCTGCTATAACATGGGGATGAGTATGTTAGAGAGCACATTGCAAAGTCTCAATGAGATAACGCGTGCATAAAAGGATGCTAGACAAATGCTATGCTTCTCCTTCCTTTGACCATCAATTCAGGGCAAGCTGCCTGCCTGGTAGGCTGAAAGTTAAAACTTACTGCTCTCTGGGCCTTGGCAGGAGTAATGTGTGATGTGTCCTGGATGTTCATTTGCTGGAGATCCTCATCAAGTAGATATCTGTAGGCAGAGAATGCCTGTATTGACTTCAGCTAGGACACAAATGTTAATAAAAGCTTACCCAGAATAATGGCAAGCAGACGAATTAATGGTTGGTTTTGTCAATGGGTGTCCATCCAGTCTCCTAATTTCGAGGTATTTTCTTTCCAATGACTTGTTAGATCTTATGAAAGTTATCCAAAATGAATTATTGACTATTATATATGCATTATTATTATGTTATACCTACCATTAAGAATTGTGCAGGAAATATGGTTGACACAGATATGGTTTACTTTATAAACCTACAATTTATGAGGGTCTAATATTTACATTAATAACTATGATCATACCTCCCTAATAATGGCTTTCTTTTCTGCTCAACAGAGAAGCAAGTGTTATTTCTGAGGATAGGAGTCTGATTCATTTAAGGAGCCTGTAGGAGGTAGCTCTGTCTTGATGCACACTAGGTTTTTGTGCTAGATGCCTCCCTTTTGCCCCAGGTCTCTTCCCAAACTTTCTCACTGCCCCAGGGGCTGAAATTTGTGATTTATAATAAAAATCTCCTTGAACTTCAGCTTCTAGTTGGACTCTGTCTTGGAGAGCCCTGGAAAGAGATCAAAGGGAGAAAGAAGGCTAAGGAAAGCAAAAGAACAAGGGAACCAAAAGACACATCATGGTTCAATATCCTGTGGTATAAGTGAGGATAGTGAGATTAAAAAAAAATGTTAAGATCAGTGTGGAGGCACAGAGGATATAGAGGATATAGATGGATATGCGACTGGACTTGTGCATAGGGTCTAGGCCATATAAGACCTTCTGGTCATATCCAGAATTTTGGTCTTCATCCCAAGAGCTTGGGGGAAAGCATTGCAAGTTTTTAAACAGTTGGGTTATATACAATGTTCATGGAAAACTGGAATTAAGAGAAACAGAATGTGATTTTTCCATGAATATTTTATTTTTAAAAGATTAATTTTTTGAAAGAGTGAAGGGGAGAAAGGAATAGAGAGACAGAAGTGAGGAGAGAGAGAGGCATTTTCCATCTGCTTCTTCACTTCCCAAATGACTGCAACTGTAGAATCTAGGCGAGGCTGAAGTTAGGAGCTCCCAACTCCATCTGGATCTCCCCTATGGGTGGCAGAGGCCAAACACTTGAGGCATTATTTGTTGTTTTCCCAGTTCATTATTAGGGAGCTGAATTGAAAGTGGAGCTGGTGGGGCCGGCGCTATGACATAGTAGGTTAATCCTCCACCTGACATGCCCGCATCCCATATGGGTGCCAGTTTAGACCCTGCTGCTCCTCTTCAAATGTAACTATAGATGGCCCCTATACCAGTGTGGGAGACCTGGAGGAAAATCCTGGCTCCTGGCTTCAGATTGGCTCAGCTCCAGCCCTTGTGGCCATTTAAGGAGTGAACCAGCGGATGGAAGACCCTTCTCTCTCTCTCCCTCTCACTGTCTGTAACTCTACCTCTTAAATAAATAAATAAAATCTTAAAAAATAAAGTGGAGCAGGCAAGGCTTGAAGTGGCACTTTGATATGGGATGCTGGTGTTGTAAGTGGCAGTTTAGCTCACTGTGCCACAACAACAGCCCCTCCATGAATTTTGAAGCAACTTCATAACAGTTAAACTTTAAAAGTTCGCTCGTGAGATCACAGCGGAAAGAATGGGCCATCAAAGAAGGAGCTACCTTTCTCTGAAGGGAGGAGAGAACTTCCACTTTGACTATGACCTTGTCTAAATAAGATTGGAGTCGGCAAACTCAAGAGGCTTCCATAGCCTTGGCAGCTCATGACAAGAGCCTTGGGTGATTACTGACGTCATAAATAAGAGTGTCAATTGTTAAATCAATAGCAGGAGTCACTGTGCACTTACTCCCCATGTAGGATCTCTGTCCTCAATGTGTTGTACTATGTGAATTAATGGTAAAACTACTACTCAAACAGTACTCTGTACTTTGTGTTTCTGTGTGGGTGCAGTCTGTTGAAATCTTTACTTAGTATATACTAAGTTGATCTTCTGTATATAAAGATAATTGAACATGAATCTTGATGAAGAATGGGATGGGAGAGGGAGTGGGAGATGGGATGGTTGTGGGTGAGAGGGAGGTTATGGGGGGAAAAGCTGCTATAATTCAAAAGTTGTACTTTGGAATTTTATATTTATTAAATAAAAGTTGAAAACAATTAGAAAAGATTAATAAAGTTCACTCTTGCTTATGGTGGTTGCAATGTTTGTAAATAGGAGATCCTGGAGAGAGTACATAATTGGAATAGGGAAGGAGGAATATTATTGATTGGAGCTGGAAGTGAAGTTATGGCAGGGCTATTACAGTTGAGAGATGGTAGTACTTTGATTGCAGGGGGATTATGGTAATAGAGGCAGATGAATTGAGAAATTTTTTAGAAAGGAAATGTAACAATATCACAGAAATAAAAAGAGTCATCCGGAATTACCACAAATAGCTGTATGCCAACAAACTGGGAAACCTAGAAGAAATGGATAGATTGCTAGACACATACAACCTACTTAATTGAGTCATGAAGACATAGAAAACCTAAACAGACCAATAACAAGATGAGAGTTGAATCTGTAATAATGACACTTCTGACAAAGAAAAGCCCAATACTGGACAGCTTTACTGCTGAATTCTACCAGTTATTTAAAGAACTAATTTCAGTTTTTCTCAAGCTATTCAAAACAATTGAAAGAGTGGGAATCCTCTCAAACTCCTTTTATGAAGCCAGCATCACATTAATTCCTAAATCAGAAAAAGATACAGCAGAGAAAGAGAACTATAGACCAATATCCCTGATGAACATAGATGAAAAAACCTTTAACAAAATACTAATTGAATCCAACAACACATCAGAAAGATCATTCTCCTGGACCAAGTGGAATTTATCCCGGATATGCAGGGATGGTTCAACATTCACAAATCAATAAATATGATACATCACATTAACAAATCAATAAATATGATACATCACATTAACAAACTGAAGAACGAAAGTCATATGGTTATCTCAATAGATGCAGAGAATGCATTTGATAAAATACAACATCCTTTCATGATGAAAACCTTAAATAGATTGGGTATAGAAGGAATGTGCCTCAACAAAATCAAGGCAATTTATGACAAACCCATGGCCAGCATCCTACTGAATGGAGAAAATGGAAGCATTTCCCTTAAGATCCAGAACCAGACAAGGATGCCCACTCTCACCACTGCTATTTAATATAATGGTAGTTTTTGCCAGACATTAGGCAAGAAAAAGAATTCAAAGGGAAAGAAATTGGAAAGGAGAAAATCAAATAATCCCTATTTGCAGATGACATGATTCCATATATAGGAGATCCAGTAGACTCAACTCTCTGAGAGACCAAACTCTCAAGAGTTTGGTAAAGTGGCAGAATATAAAATCAGTACAGAAAAAAATCAATAGACTTCATATACACAGACAATGCCATGCCTGAGAAAAAACTTTTAAGATCAGTCTCATTCACAGTTGCTCAAAAAAGAATTAAATACCTTGGAATAAATTTAACCAAGGATGACAGAGATCTATATGATGAAAATTACAAAACACTGAAGAAAGAAATAGAAGAAGACATTAAAAAAATGGAGAAAACTTCCACGTTCATGGATTGGAAGAATAAATATCAAAATGTTCAAACTACCAAAAATAATTTAAAGATTCAGTGTGATCCCAATCAAAATACCAATGACATTCTTCACAGATCTAGAAAAAAATGATGCTAAAATTAATACAGAAACACAGTTAAAGCAATCTTATACAATAAAAGAAAGCTGGAGGCATCACAATACCAGATTTCAAGACATATTACAGTGCAGTTATAATCAAAGCAGCCTGGTACTGACACACAATAGACTTGTAGACCAGTGGAACAGAATAGAAACTCCAGAAATAAATCCATGCATCTACAACCAACTTTGACAAAAGAGCTAAAATAAATCTCTGGAGCAAGGACATTCTATTTAACACATGGTGTTGGGGAAACTGGATTTCCACATGCAGAAGCATGAAGCAGGACCCCTACCTTACACCTTACACAAAATCCACTCAAAATGGATCAAAATCCTAAATCTATGACCTAATACCATCAAATTACCAGAGAACATTGGGAAAACTATGCAAGACATTCGCACAGGCAAAGACTTCTTGGAAAAGACCCCAGAGTCACAGGCAATCAAAGCCAAAATTGACAAATGGGATTACATTAATCAGAGACGCTTCCGCCTTGCAAAAGAAACACTCAGCAAAGTGAAGGGGCAACTGACAGAATGGAAAAAAAATCTGCAAATTATGCAACTGATAAAGAGTTAATATCCAGAATCTATAAAGAGGTCAAGAAATTCAACAACAAAATAATCAAGTTAAGATAGGAAAGTTAAGAAGGAAAGCATGAGAATGTGATAACACAGAAGCTAAGGATAGAGTATGTTTCAAAAATATGGAAAAGCCAACACTATCCAAGACTCCTGTAAGGTCAAGAAGCCATGGAGGAGATTGATGACATCTGATATGTTTTGGTTCAGGTTGAATAATGATAGGGAGATGAGGAAATAAGAACTGTTGAGTATAGAAAAATTCTTCCAAAATTTTTGACTATGAAGAAAGAAGAGATGAATATGTAAATATCTATGAATATATTAAAGTAAGTGCTTAACAATCCAAAAAAGTTCATTGTTAATCTGTGTGTGTGATTGTGTGCTAAGAAATATGAATTTTGAGCACCAAACCAGTCTGTCAATATTTCAGTTTTTAGCAATCACAAACTGTATTTGGCCTCTATGATTTCTACTACGAAATACTTCTCACCCTCAATGTCCATATGATTTCAATAAACAATTCTGAGAAAGTGTGGGTGGTCTCCTATACACAGCAGGGGCTGGGAATGGGACACTGGGGTACAGTCTCCAACTAAAGACAATGGATTGTTGGGAGACCTTAAGGTTTGCTTCTATTTGTTTTTTAAGTAAAGGAAACTCTTAAAAATTTTTAAATGACACATAATAATGGAACATATTTATGGACTACAGACTGATAATTCAATACATGTATACAATATGTGACAATCAAGTCAGAGTAATTAACATTTTTACCTCCTTAAAACATTTGTCATTTCTTTGTCTTGGAAATTCTCAAGCTCCTCTCTTCTAGTTCTCTATAAAATATGTAAGTTTGTATAAACTATAATCATCCTACTGTGCTGTAGAACTCTAGAACTTATTCCCCTTAACTGTGTTTTGGTCACTGTTAGTAAGAGAAGTCTTTTAAGAAGGTGTCCACCCTTCCCTGACTTCTAGAATGCTATATAATTTCATGTGTGATTCCTTTCTTTTCTTTCATTTCCACTTTCCTTCTATATTAAATGGCTGCAGGACTTGATAACCGTGGGAAAACAATGTGGAGAACAGAATTACTTCCATTTAACATTTTCTTTGACCAGAAGGAATTCCCTTGGCAACATATACTACATTGGTGGTCATCTGATAACCTACCTCTAAAAAGCTAATAATATTCTTATAATTCCTTGAACAAGGCACTTAGTAAATATACCATGAGATGATGTATTTATCTGAAGTCAATGTAACATAAGATTTAAGACAATTTTTGCCCGTAGAAAAAGTACACATTATATAGATAGAACGTAATGCACACTAAAGTTTTAAATTTCTTGCTGATACATTTTCTGGAGTTATTCTATTTCCTCCATTGAAGGTACCTCAAGCATTTTTGGGAAACAGATCTAGAATCTCATTTCTTGTCATTCTATTTTTTTTAAGTTTTATTTATTTATTTGAAAGTCAGAGTTACACAGAGAGTTGAGACAGAGGGAGGGAGGGACGGGGGAGGGAGGGAGATCTTCTATTCGATGGTTCACTCCCCAATTGGCTAAAAGGGCCGAAGCTGCGCCTATCCGAAGTCAGGAGCCAGGAGCTTCTTCCAGGTCTCCCACATGGGTGCAGGGGTACAAGGACTCGGGCCATCTTCTGCTGCTTTCCCAGGCCATAGCAGAGAGCTGGATTGGGAGTGGAGCAGCTGGGACCAGAACCAGCGCCCATATGGCGCTTCAGGCCAGGGTGTTAACCCACTGTGCTGGCCCCTTGTCTTTCCATTTTTAACCTTAGTGTTCTAAATTATGTATCCTTTTCAATATTTCCAAATAATTACTTTCATTGACTTAGTTGTGTCTAACAGCTTCAAACCACAAGAAAATTTATGCACAAAATTTTGAAGAGTAGCATTTCTGAAACCTTTCAGTTATAAATTCTTGTGGATGTATCCTATCCTGAGAAAAGCAGTTCTCTTGAAGCTTCTAGGATTGTTGTTAAACCCCTGGTTGAGAGTCAAATACAATTTAATGGCCCTTACTCTTAATAGAATTAAAATTATTTTGAAATATATATTTTCTCCTTTCAGGGGAATTGAAATGGGTATGGTTTACTATTAATAATGATATATAATCCAATTGTTTCAAAGTTCTTATTTTTGTTTCACAGGTCCTGACACTAAACTAATGCAAAATAGTGGTAAGACAAAGTTTAAAAGAACAAGCATTGATAGATTCATGAATATTCTAGTACTCTGGGTAAGTTATGATAACAAAATTAGGTAATACCAGTTATTATTATCTTGATATATTTCTTATATTTTTCTGGGAATTCTTTTAGGACTGTGCAGTCTACTTGTGGGGTAGGTTTTGGGGGATTTTGCATTTGCGACTCAGTTGCCCTGCACTGTATTTTCAAGATTTTGATGAATTCACAGCCAGTGGTAGCTTTATTATGTGAGGTAGCTTGGTACTTCTGGAGGCCTTGACAGTACTGCAAATTCTCCATAATCCAGGGATTTGTTTATGAAAAAAAGTGAAGCATAATTTTCAGGTAGTTTGGTGTTTTCTTGTCTTAACTCTGCTCAAGTCCTCTCTACATAGTTGATGAATATGGTTGGCTTCATTGTTGTCTGTCCCATGCAGCTGTAGGGCCTCACACTTTACAGGGCCTCCTGCTTGGTTAGTTGATCTGATATCATTGTCTAGACATTCTTAATAAACTTTGAACCTGGAGTCTTCCTTTTTCACTTTTCACTGGGCCCTGCAAATTATGTGGTTGTTTCTGCTTATTAATCCTCTGAGGCCCAAGTCACAGAGGTATCTAAGCTCTTACTCTGTGGTTGTCTCTTTGTATGAATTTAAGTGATTTTTTGTAGCACCTATTCACCAAAAGCAGTTAGGTGTTTCTCACATCCCATCATTTAAAAATATATTTATTATGTATTCATGTATACATTGATGGATTTATATGAGAGAGAGAGAGAGAGAGAGAGAGAGAGAGAGAGAATATGAATCTCCCATCTGCTAGTTCACTTTCCAAATGCCCACAACAGCCAAGGGTGGGCCAATTTAAAGCCAGTAGCTGGGAACTCACTCCCAGGGTTTCAGACATCCAAGTATTTGAGCCATCACATGCTGCTTCCCAGCATATATATTAATAGAAAGCTAGATGGAGAGTGGAGCCAGGACTCAAACCCAGGCACTAGGTGCCTTAATCAAATGCCTTACCCATTCCAACTTTTTGTGAGTTATTTGTGTGCTATTACATGCTGTTGATCTGATTATTATATGACTTTGTAATGTTGCTTTGTCTCTTTATGGAAGTTAGAAGATAGTAATTTTGAAATATGGGGACAATGACTTTAATCACGTTCCCCCATGCACTCTATCATAGACTTAAATGGTATCATAAAGAATTTGGACTCAATATATATTTTCTTCATTGATATGTAATAGCTGGATGCTGAATAAGGAAATAAGGAAGTTAACATTGGCTGGGCACAGCATATTGGCCAATATGTCTTTTACTTTATCATCTTCAGATCTGGGCTTTCCTGTAGCTACACCTGTTTCCTTGGGACAGAGTACCTGGGGTCAAGTGGACATGACCAGAAGGAGTATGCGCTCTCCCAGAATTCCCAGTTGAAAACGGCTCCAATCCCACTTCCAAGGCTTGCATGGGGATTGTGTATCTCTCCACTGTGGAGTAAAATTATTAGTTCTGAAGCAGGGGCTGTCCCAGATTTTAGAATAGATAATAAGATGATACTTTGGGGGAAGTTAGAAGCCAAATCCTTCTTTAATTACTGCCCAACATCACGTATCTTAATGCTGTAAAGTAATTCAGTTAAATTAATTTGTAGTATCAGCCATTGAAAGGAAAGAGGGTGTTGTGATACAGCCACCAACTTGGTAGGATGCTGGGAATTCGCAGTTCTGCTTTTCTCTAATGTGGTTTCCTAATATACTTTAAATCAGGCTTTCTGTATTGTTGTCTTCTTGTGTCCCTATTTTATTTATGAGACAAAAGAATCCTGCCCATGAAACAACAGAGAAAAAAATCAGCCCTAGAATTTGTGATTATTCTTTCTTGAAGGAAAAAGGAAACAGGAGAAGTGCATTTCTGTTCTCCAGCTTCACTCCTCCTTCAGCAGTGAATTGTCATGAGACTTCTGAATTTGTTTCTTTTTGTTGATTTTTTTAAAGAAAAGTCTTTAAAAATTTTAATTGACATATAATAATTGAACATATTTATTGGGTGTGTGTGTGTAAAATGTATTCCGATCAAATGAGAGTAACATTTCCATCTCCTTACAAGTTTGTCATTTCTTTAGTCTCAGTTCTCCTAACATACGTGACACAGAACAGAACATAGTCACCCTAACAGCTTGTTCAAGTCAGACCACACCAAGTTCACTGAATTTGTGTCCTTTCTGTCCAAGGCTGAGATTTTGGAATCACAACAGATTGAGCCTGTTGTCTATCCAATTGCCATGCTCCCCAAATGTCTGTTGTACGAATTTTAACAATATGAGTCTGCTAACAATTTTCAGGTTGCTTCCCATTTTTTCTAATCTCAAAGTATGTCATAAAGTATTTTAATTCTTTTTTTTTTTTGACAGGCAGAGTTAGACAGTGAGAGAGAGAGACAGAGAGAAAGGTCTTCCTTTGCCGTTGGTTCACCCCCAAAGTGGCCGCTGCAGCTGGTGTGCTGTGCTGATCCAAAGCCAGGAGCCAAGCACTTCCTCCTGGTCTCCCATGGGGTGCAGGGCCCAAGTACTTGGGCCATCCTCCACTGCACTCCCTGGCCACAGCAGAGAGCTGGACTGGAAGAGGAGCAAACGGGACAGAATCTGGCATCCCAACCAGGACTAGAACCCGGGGTGCCAGCGCCGCAGGTGGAGGATTAGCCTAGTGAGCCGCGGTGCTGGCTCGAAGTATTTTAATTCTTATATTTCTTGTTAACCCTCAGTAAGACTGTGCAGTCAGATCAATAGCCAATAGACTTGACCAGTCTAAGACAATAGTTTCTCCCTTTGGCTTTTATGCCTTGGGTGATCATACAATTTATCATCCAGACTGGGCACTTTTGAAGGTACAGGGACTATTACTTTTTTTTTTTTTTTGGACAGGCAGAGTGGACAATGAGAGAGACAGAGAGAAAGGTCTTCCTTTGCCATTGGTTCACCCTCCAATGGCCGCCGCGGCTGGCGTGCTGCGCTGATCCGATGGCAGGAGCCAGGTGTTTCTCCTGGTCTCCCATGCGGGTGCGGGGCCCAAGCACCTGGGCCATCCTCCACTGCACTCCCTGGCCACAGCAGAGAGCTGGCCTGGAAGAGGGGCAACCGGGACAGAATCTGGCGCCCCGACCGGGACTAGAAGCTGGTGTGCCTAGTGAGGATTAGCCTAGTGAGCCGTGGCGCCGGCCATGGGACTATTACTTGTAATATACCTGGACAATACATGTAGACTGGGGCTGTCCAGGACAATCATGAAATATGGTCTTTTTTTTTTTTTTATTTGAGAGGCAGAGTTACAGAGAGGGAGAGACAGAAAAGTCTTCCATCCACTGGTTCATTCCCGAAATGGTCACAATGGCTTCCAGCTGGACCGATTGGAAGCCAGGAGCCAGGACATTCTTCTGAGTCTCCCACGTGGATGCAGGGGCCCAAGCACTTGAACCATCTTCCACTGCTTTCCCAGGCCATAGCAGAGAGCTGGATTGGGAGAGGAGCAGCCGAGTCACAAACCAGGATCAGTATGGGATGCAGGCACCACATAACTTACTACTGCCACAGTGCCAGCTCTGGAATATGGTCTTCTTAAACCACTTAAATACATTTACTTATTATAAATTGAAGATATGAAGTTGCTGTCTATGTGACTATGGAAAAGTTGTATGTGGTCTTTCTGTTTTGTTTGTTTTAATCTGTAAACATAATGATTATCCCTATCTCAGAGAGTCAATGGGAGAATTAAAGGAGAAAATGTAAAGTATTTAAGCTGAGTTCCTGACATGAAAATGTGAAATTTTACTTATAACCCTAATGGTAAGAAAAAAGGAGTTTATATAACTTTGTCTTCAAATGACAATTTCTTGAATTTAGAAGTGTAATTAGATCATGTTGATATGACTAGTTTTAGGCTGAAGTTAACCTTAACCAGATTTCTATTTTTATTTCAGATTTTTGGGTTTCTGGTATGCTTGGGAATTATTCTTGCAATAGGAAATTCAATCTGGGAGAATCAAGTTGGGGGCCAGTTCAGAACTTTCCTCTTTTGGAATGAAGGAGAGAAGAACTCTGTGTTCTCAGGATTCTTAACATTCTGGTCATACATTATCATTCTCAATACAGTTGTGCCCATTTCACTGTATGTGAGGTAAGATGAAAGTTCATTACTCTAATGAAGCCATTTCATCAAAAGCCTTTGTTTCAGACCATCATGTTCATTTGTTTTGAAATTACAACAGTGAGATAAATGCCTTGCTCTAACTGCTTATGATCCGCTACATCTGTTACAAATGAGGCAATTAAGTTTTTTAATCTGTTTAACTTTTACATTTTCAAATCACAATAAGTGCATTTAATTTTCTTCTTGATTCAATTGGGTTTCTTAGGAATGTTTTTCTTTGGAATACACATTGGCCTACAATATAATGGCATGCAACCTGATCAATTAGAATTGGGTTAATTTGGGGTAAGAAAAGGAGGAACATCTGGGGAGATTTATACAGATAGTGTCTCTTTAACACTAGTCTGCCTCCAGATACCTTCCAGTGCCTCAGTTTCCTTATTCCAAAAATGGAGAAAATAATAGTTTTCCTTCATAGGTTTGTATGAGGAGTGCATCAGTGCTTGTGAAGCTCTCAGAAGACTGCCTGACACACTGTAAAAGCTTAGTGAATATTAATTTTTACTATTATTAGTAGTGACAAGTGAGTTTATAAAGGAGTTGAAATAAAGCAGGTGGTACTTATCTATTGTTAGAGAAAAAGTATGACTCATAATTCCCACTACAACTTGATCTGTCTTTTCTAGATTTGGTCCCATAAACTAGAGCTAAATTGCTTTCTCTCTCTTTAGACACGCACACACACACACACACACACAAATACACCTCTTTCTAAATGAGCACACGTGTATGTACATGTATGTGTGGTGTGTGTTTATGTTTGATAAGGCTTAGTAGTTGGCACTAGAATCTGTACCCGAAACATTCTTGATACTAATCCTACTAAGACTAAGTCAGACAGCCCTAAAGACACTGGAGCCAAGATGGAGCTTGGTTGTTTGACACTCTTCATCATCAGTGCTTTAACAATACACAAAATCACCAACTCTAAGTCCCCGCTAATTTTTACTAGCCTCTTTTTCTTTCTTTCCAAAAACTTAGCGATGATGAAGCAAGGGAGGTTTAATGCACAAAATCCACCCTTGTTTTGGATTGCAGTCAGGAAACTGAAATGTCAAGTTGTGGGAAATTGACTTGAAGTAGTGGCATGTGGCCACAACACCACAAATTGCTTTGGGCCCTCTGGAGTTGTGGTCAGAGTGGGCTCTATTTAAACCGTATCCTACTGGCTCATCTTTGATTCTGAGGACCTCTTATGCTTGTATCCAATTATTAAGTCTGTAGTAAATCCTGTACTTTGCCAGAAGAGCTATGGTCAGCTTTTATAGCTTTCCTTTTATGTCCTAAGCAAATAATAAATGTGCATAGTGGCTTCCCATCTGCACATGTAAAGTGTCATATGTTTTCAGGAAGAAAGTATATTCTGTATACATTCTTTCTTTGAAGTGCATTGGTATTTTTCATTTAATGATTTGAAAGATTGATTTATTTTTTAGAAACTAAGGCTAAATTCCCAGGTTAACATTCCTTTTTCTAATGTGGACAGAAAACCCATTTGTAATAGTCCAAACCCAGTTTCTGGCCTTGGCACTGCCAATAATAGCTGTGTGACCTTGGAGAAAGTACTTGGCTTCTCTATGCCTTAGTGTGCCTGTCAAATACGTACTGCTCTGTGCAATCAGAGGATTAAAATAATTGATCACTGAATTTCTTTCAGCTCCACATAATGATACCTTATGTTTAGATAGCTATGTATACGTTATTGTTAATATACATATTGTTTTAAAACTTCTCTCATGCATTGCTTCTTATAGTTTTTAAAATTACTCACTGATGTTCTGTAAAGTAGTATAAAGTGCAATGCCTTGAAAAATCTTTCTATCCGTTTGTTAGCATTTTATATAAAGGATGTCCACATATTTGATCTCATTGGTGTTTCCCAACAATCTTATGAAGTAGTTATGACTGAAGTTCTTTCACAAATAAGGAGATGATTTGCTCAGGACTATGGAGCTAATTAGGGGCCAAATGCAGATCCAAACCCAAGTCTTCTGACAGTTGGCACAGCTTCTCTTCTGTCCCTAAGCTGTGTATGATTTATTATTTAGTGAAGAAGTCAAGAGGAAAGAGAAAGGAGGCTCAAGTTCTGCACTGTGTTGGTAAGGCAGAGTCTTGGGGGAAATTAAACTCAAGCTTTTCTCTTACCAAGTAAGAACATGGATTCTGATCACCCCAGGGAAGAGGCATTCCAAGGAATTTCAGGTTTGCCTCTCTTAAGACTGAGACTGAGGAAGAAACATCCCCCAGGTATTTCTGTTTGGAAGGATGAAGGCCTTCCACAAAAGCTTCCATTAGGCTTTTGAATAGGAACAAGGAGCAAATTAATGCCATATGTCACTTGAGGATAAAAGTTCAGAATTTGCTTTGAATGGTTAACAATTCCAGGTGAGCGAAGGACATTTATTTTGGTAGGATATTCCTATGCTGTCAGTTTGTTTATCTGTTGTATTATGAGACATTCAGTTATATTTGAAAAATTCGTCATGTTAGAAAATGCAGCAATTATTCTCCCAAAAAATTAGGTTTTGAGGGTTGTATCCTAAGCAGTAAGAACTCATTTCCATGTTGCTTGTTTTGCCATAGAGTAGGTGGACTCATAGGCACTGCTCTCTGAGTGTTCAGGCAGAAAACACTAATGGCCTGATTATGCTAACGCTGAACATTTGTCTCCTTTCTCTGGTATTATAAAAGAAAGGCCTGAATGTTCCACTGTGACTTTCCTAATTCCTCTTTTTCCAAACAAAGAGATATCCATTTTCTCTATTTTAAGCTCTAGGAATTTGAATGAATTTGGAATACTTCCATTGGCTTCTACTGCAACATGGAAGAATAAAATTCTTTCCCATTAATTTTGGTTTGAGTTTGTAGGGAGTTACTAGACATTCAGATAAACAAAAGCTTCAGGTGATTTGTGTACACTAGTTCCCACTCATCCTTGTGGATGCATTCCAAGACCCACAATCTGCCTGAAACTGCAGATAGTACTAAACCCTATATATGTCATAGATTTTCTTATACTGAACATCTATACCTATAATAAAGTTTAACTGATAATTTAGGCACAGAGATTAATAATAGAAGAATTATAGTATACTGTAATAAAATTTGGGTGACTATGTGTTTCTTAAAGTAACTAATTATAGTGTACACACCCCTCTTGTGATGCTGTGAAATAATACAATGCCTATGTGATGAGACATAGGCATTGACCTATCATTACACTTCTACAGAAGAGTTACTTGAACATAATATCTGTGATACCTCAACAGTAGAGCTGACAACTGAGTGGCTAATAGGCATGTAGCATAAGAGTACAGTGTGGATGCACTGGACGAAGTGACAATTCATGTCCTAAGTGAGAGTAGGACAGCATGAGATTTCATCATGTTAATCAAAATAGCATGCAATTTGATATGTATCAATTGCTTATTTTTGGAATTTTCTGTATAAATTTTTGAACCAATAATTTATCTGATGAAATGGAGTCACAGAATGTTAAAACCTTGAATAGGGGAGGACTACTGTAGGTATCCACATAGTGCCATTCCTAAAGCCAGGTCTTGCTTGGCTTGACCAAACACCTAGATTCCAGTTTTGGCTAGTCATTTGTGTGTCTTAGGTTAGTCACTTGTCTGAACATCCTTGTTAGTGAGATTAGGAACTAGAGAGCTGGAATTAATTTGTTCAACACTGATTTACTATGAAAGGCAAGAACCACTTTTTGAGTGAAAGGAATAAGGGAAACAAAGTTGAGTTAGAATAGCTAGCAAGGGGCTGAGAAAGAAGTTTGTGTGTGTGTGTGTGTGTGTGTTCGTATGGAAAGATAGAAATTACATGCCTCGTATGACTTTATTTCATATGAATCTACATAGTCATAATGTGATTTTAGATTGGGAGAAAAAAGTGTTAACTTTCACATAGTTAGAAAGTGACCTGGCACCATCCAACTTTTGTGGCAGAGGGCTAAGTTTTTAGGACTTGGAGCATGGAATTTTTTTTTAAAGATTTCTTTATTTACATGAAAGTCAGAGTTACACACAGAGAGAGAGAGAGAGGTCTTCCAACCACTGGTTCACTCTCCAATTGGCCGCAACAGCCAGAGCTGTGCTGATCCAAAGCCAGGATCTCCCACATGGATGCAGGGGCCCAAGGACTTGGGCCATCTTCTACTGCTTTCCCAGGCCATAGCAGAGAGCGGGATCGGAAGTGGAGCAACTGGGGCTTGAACCGGCACGCATATGGGATGACGGCATTGCAGGTGTGGCTTTATGCTATGCCACAATGCCAGCCCCAAAGCATAGAATTTAATACCCAGGAAGGACTTAGCTGTCATCTAGTTCAATTTTCTTAGCTTACAGATGAGGAAATCAAGACTTAATTTCTAATAACAGAAATACATTACCAGTTCCTGCTATTATCATTACTACTCCTATTTTATACTGTTCTGAATGTTCTTATTAATGTATAGACATGAAACTGAAATATCAATGAACTAAGTTAGACATGAAACCAAAATTGTAATGAGACTATCAGAAAGGAAGCACACAGATGATGTGATTATAAATCTAGTAAATCCAAAAGAACAATCCATAAAACTCTTATTGAGGTAATTCAGTTATATCTGATTATGTGAGCCATATTTTTAAAAAATTTAAAACTTTCCTTTAGACCAACACCAGTTTAAAAACTTACACCTTCAGTAAAAAGGTATAATGTCCAGGAGCAAATCTCCTAAGCTATGGTGTAGAGCTGTGTGAAAAATAAACCAAAGCCAAACAAAAACTCTTTACAGATCATCTTTATTCTTCTCTTTGTGTTTTGTTTGTGATACATAATTTCATTTCTTTTTAAATAATTCAGAGTTTAATATAGATCTAATCACAATCTGAAATAAATTTGATAAGATAACATATCATGACTTAAAATTTTATTTTGATAAATACATGGATTCTAACAGGAAGAATAAATGAGTGATAACAGCTAAGAATTTCTGAAAGGAAAGAGAATAACGGTGCAACTGTTTCTTCCCGGGTATTGTTAAGGCTTTATAAAGCCACAATTATGAATACAAGACTACTTAATGGTATATCAATTAATGAAATTGAAATTCTTAATGAGTAAGTAATTAGATTCTGATGAGTAAAATAATTTATGTGCATCATAGGAACCAACCCAACTTAATGAGGAAGGGACTCATTGTTTCAGCAGATGGTGATGAGAAAACTTACTGTCTGGAAAAATTTAAATTAGCTCTTTATTGTTTATCATACTGCAGAAATTTCCAATGAATCAATGGCTTGGAAGAACATATAGATATCTGCATGTGTAACCTAAGCGTAGGAAAGATGCATATAAGCAAATTTTCCCAAATAAGCTATAAACTACTTATGAATTTGATTGATTATAAAGAGAAAATTTTGTCTTTTCATAAAACTGGAAACAAAATTAAAGTTGTGAATAAATTAGAAGACAAAGGATAAATTGAATAAGACATTCACATTATTTTTGACAGTTAATACTCTTATTATCTATATGATTTTTGTAATCAATAAGAAATGCAGTAATGTCAGAAGGGGAAATAAATCAGAAAGATACAATTAGATAACTCCAAAGAGAAAACAAAACTGGGCAATAAAATTTGAAGAGTGTTTAACTCAATGATAAGAAGAATTCAGTAAGCAGTAATGCAATGCTATTTAAATCAGTGTACAGTTAAAGATAATTCCCAATAATCTGATGGTAGAAGCTTACACTGTTGTAATCTTTTTGGACGCTAACTTGACATTATTCATGAAAAAATTGGAAAAAGTCATACTCTTGGCCATAGAAACTCCAATTTTGGAGTTGGAAAGTTACATATCATCACTAGTACACAAGACAATGCTCTTTTCCTGGTACATGGGAAGAGTAGTATGACCACATGTCTTTGCTTTCATCTAATATCCATTATGGTTTTGTTTGTGTGGTGTGGAGATAAAACTTCCTCCCACTTTTGGCAAAACCAAGTCACATCAATATATTTGAGAGAAATTCTTTGATGAGACATCGCTGTATACCAGACATCTAACAAACATCTTTAATAATAATTAGATTCCCCTAAGATATAGAAGGAGATGCAAACTAATATGCTACATAGAAATCTTCGTTTGGTCTGTGTAACATAAGCAGACCATGAAACATTCCCTCAAACTTTTTGCTAAGCTAACCTATTGCTTTAATGATGCAGCGAGAAAGTGGCTTAGAAAGGTTTGTGAACAGACTGCACTGAAGTGGTTCTGACCTATGGACAGAGCATCCAGTTTCTTTTCAGTGTGAAGCCTCTGGCTGGTAGACGTCTCACACTGGCACATCTTAGCATATTCTGAAATTGATGAAATGTTTCTTTTTTCCATTTTAATGGGTGACAGCATGGAAGTAATTCGTCTGGGACACAGTTATTTTATAAACTGGGATCGGAAGATGTATTACTCTGGGAAAGTGATACCTGCTGAAGCCCGGACTACCACGCTCAATGAGGAACTGGGCCAGGTTGAATATGTTTTCTCTGACAAAACAGGCACCCTCACTCAAAATGTCATGACTTTTAAAAAGTGTTCCATTAATGGGAGAATCTATGGTAAGAGAGATTTCCTTTTCTCGGTGATATTGCGACTAGTCTTAAAAAAAATTGCAATCCCATTTTAAAAAGATTTATTTATTTATTATAAAGAAAGTGTGTGTGTGCCTGCATGTGTGTGTGTGTGAGAGAGAGAGAGAGAGAGAGAGAGAGAGAGAAGGAATCTTCTACCTATTGGTTTATTCCCCAGATGGCTGTAATGGCTGGGCTTGGGCAAAGCCAATACCCAGAGCCAGGAACTCCATAATCCTGGTCTCCCATGTAAGACACATTAACAGGGAGCTGGATAGGAATCAGAGCAGCTGGGACTTGAACCAGCACTCTGATATGGGATGTCAGTGTTGCAGGTAGCTGCTTAAGCTGCTGTGATCCCATTTTTTAAATTAAAAAAAAAAATCCCAGAACCCCTGGCTTTCTTATTAACGTGGGCACCAGTAGTATTTAACATAGTGCTTGGCATGTAAAAAACATTAATTATTATATACCTACTAATTTAGAAGAAACATTGGATTTGTTACCATCAATGGATAGAGAAGGAGGTTAGATATAACACATTCTGAAGTTCCCTTCAGGGCTCACTCCAACTGTGTCATTCCACTTCGTGGTGTTCAGTAGACCCTTGGCCCAGGCAGGACAAGTTCTCTGCAGCCTGACTTCTCTCGTTAAAAGCAGTATTTTAGTCTTGCTTCCTTTTGGCTCAGGCGTTAGTGCATGTGTTGTTGAGACATTCCTCCTCACCCCCTGAGAATTCACACTTCGCAGGGCTACTGTGAGTAGCCAGACAGGCTATTTCATTAATGCCCACTTCCTATATGTGTGCCTTGGTCAGGAGACATGTTCTGTGTTTGGGCTTTCAAGGACCTTGTTTGTATGTGACCTTCTCACACCAGCACTGGCTAGTTAGCAGACAGTTCTTTCTGTGGAGGGTGCAAGGCTCTGCAGAACCTTCTGTCGGGGTCCTCTGGACTGCCAGCCTTGCTTCATGGGGCTCTGAGCACCCTGTTGCTCAACACAGAATGTCAAGAAGTCAAGGACATCCAAGAGAGAGGGGGGAGTGTTTCTTTTGCTCCTCATGGAAATGTTCACATGTGGCCAGGTATTTTAAAGCAAGACTTGACCCTGAATAAAACTAGGAAATATGAGAACTTGAAGTTCACACCCTGCTGCCTTTTGGCTTTTCCCTCTCTGTGACCCTCACTCCCATAACCCAGGGTCACTCTGATATCCTCCACTTCCAACCTCTTCTCCTGCCTCCTTTGGTGTACACAAAATGGTTGCCAACTTGGAGTGCTACAGGGCCTCAATTGCATTGTGCATTTCTTAATCACAGTCTTAATGATTGCACAAAATATAGAACATTCTGTTAAAATTTTTCTTTCAACATCATTTTTGGAAGTTTTCTAAAAATATCGCCTTATGCAAAAGAAATGGTGTATTAATAAGCCTTTCATGACTTGAGCTAAAATGAGAGGAGCCGCTTAGAAGGGAAGAAGGCTTATTTCAGTTGATGGTTTGGGGGATCACAGTCCAAGATTAGGCAGCAGTGGCTAGCAGTGGTGGAGCGTGTGCAGAGGAGCAATGACATGGTAGGGGCAGAGGGACAGGGAATTCGCTCTTCCTCTGCTCGCTGTGTGGTTCTCCTCGTGCAGCCATCAGTGGGGCGAGTGCTGTGGCACAGTCGGGTAAGCTGGCTTGGGACACCCACGTGCCATTTCAGAGTGCTGCTTTGAGTCCCAGCTACTCCACTAATGATCCAGCAACAGGTGATGGCTCGAGTTCTTGAGCCCCAGTCACACATATGGGGGACCTAGGAGGCCTTAGCTCCTAATTTCAGCCTGGGCCATTTCTGGCTGTTGCAGCTGTTTGGGGAGTGAGCCAGCTCATGGAAGATTCTCTCTCTCCCTCTTCCCCTCTCTCCTCAAGACCTCTCTCTAAAATACATTCTTACTAAAGCACTAATAGAATGCTTCAGAATCACCTTTTTTCTTCTCTTTCTTTCTTTCTTTCTTTCTTTTTTTTTTTGTACAAGTTGGACTTGTGTATATAATAGATCCCAGTCTTGGGAAAATTTGAGATTCCACTCTGATTTATCTAAATCTATTTCCTGTCTCAGAAATATTGCTTTTTAGACTTCTTTAATCTTTGTTCAATTTCATCCCAAGCCTTATAAGTGAGCTTTCCTTGAGGGAATAATTTAATGTGAAGCCATGGTTTTCCTCCTCTTTTGATCATTATAGTCGAGTGACTACATTAGGGTAATGATTAGAACACAACTCTGGTAAGTTTGAGATTTAAGTTCCAGGTACTTGGCTGGGTTCATGCACTAGCCAAGGGACTCTCCCATACAGCAGCACACAACATTCCAGATCCAGACCTGTGTCCCAGAGAAACAACAGATAACTCTTTGACAGGTGCTTTGTGGTCATGGTATATTGTGTAATGACGCAAATGAGAGAGACTGGGGTTCAAAAACCTATGCTGATGATTTTAGTTTTAGAACTGGAACTTTGAACTCTGTTTTCAGTTCCCTTATCCATAAAATAAAAATTAAAATTTTCATCTTGCAAGTGTTTTATAAGGATTAATGATAGTGTAAGAGCTTGACATGGGGGTGACGCAAGTAACTGTTATTATTACTACAAAAAATATAATCCTGGCAAATAGTATTAAACCTTCAAATACCAAGCAAAAACTGGAAAAATCTTGAATGTCCCACAATAGAAGAAATCTAAAATAAATTGTGCTACATCTATAATCATGGTTTATTATATGACCATTCAAAACATGATTCATAAAAACTTTTAATGATAGGAGAAACACATATTTTATGTGGTTCAAAACAGCAGAAACAACACATTTATGAACCATATAATGAATATAGGTGTAAACACACATGTACAGAATCAACATAAAAGACCTCTACAAATACTGGTCATTGCAGGATGATAGTACTATCTGTCCTTTATTTTCTATAGCAAATGTCTTGTATTTTTCAATATTTCTGTAATAAATACATATCAGCTTTATACTAAGAAATTATTTTAAAATTTCTAGAAGATAGGTGTTTATGCTCCGTGTCTGCAGAAGGCCTGACATTGTTTAAGGCTCACAGCGAATTTGACTTTGCCATTACACAAGTCCATCTGGTCCCAATCAAGATAATCAAAGATGTACTCACCCAGCTTAAGCACTAACGAGAGTTAGTCTGGTTAGGATACCATTTTGGATTCTCCAACAGTAGGGATAATACAGAAAACATAAATTTGCCCCTTGCAATCATAGGCAATGTGACAACAGAGTGATAAAGTTTACAGAAAAATAAGATTACAGCTTCAAATTTTACTTTAATGTATTTCTTGGGAAAGCGTATCAGTATTAGTGCTATAGTTAGCGTTACAGTTCAAAAACACTCCTGTGTTTGAATTCATACTGATGTCTAGTAATGGTGCTTTAAGAAATAAGTATATTCTTTAACATGTCTATGTCTAGCTGTAATTTTAATTCTCAATTTTTGTTTTGACAGGTGAAGTAAATGATGATTTGGGTCAGAAGACAGAAATAACTAAGGTGTGGAAGTGGTAATGTTTCACTTTTAGTTTTAATTTCAAGTTGTACATGCTTTTTGGAAAGTGATCAGTTCCTAGAAGCCTGTTTACACTATCACAAGATAAAATACTTAATGCACAACATTAAAAAACAGATTATATTGTTCAAAATTCCTTCTTCTCTAGGCCCCCCAACCACACAGTTCTCTGTTTTTAAAATATTTTTAGAGATATTTATGCTTCTGTAAGTATATATATTTCTTATAGCTTAGATGGTAGTCCAATATACAAACTGTTCAACTTTCTTTTTTAACAGTCTATCATGGAGATCTTTGTAGATCAGTTTAAAAAAAAAGAACTTAATTCTTTTAGTGACTGAATGATATCTGTTATATTGATGTACTGCAATCTATGTACCGAGGCACCAATGGACATTTAGATATTATCAATATTTTGTGAGTAAGGGAAATGCAGCAAAAAATAACTGGCTACTTAAAGCTTTTCACATGTTATAGAGTATAGAATCTATTTTTCAGAAATGGAATTACTAAATCAGATAGTATGTTTCTTTATAATTTTATGAACACTTATTTTCCTGTTCAGAATTTGTAACAGTTTATCCTGCCACATCTTTAAACAAGGATCATTTTACTTCTTTTCAATTTGAATAGCTTTTATTTCCTATATATTTGCTCTGGCTAGGATTTCTCACATTATGCTAAGTAGAGGTGATGAGAGTAGACATTCTCACCTTATTCCTAACTTTAAAGAGAAAGCTTTCACTTTTTTCACTATTGACTATGGTATTTGCTGTGAGATTTTCATCAATGACTTTTATATGTTGTAGTACCTTTTTCTATTGCTTTTTTCATGAAAGTATTGAATTTTGTCAAATACTTTTTCTGCTTCTATTGGGATGATTATATGTTTTTTATTTTTTGTTCTGATAATACAGTGTTTTGGCTTGACTGATTTTCTTAGTTTGAATCATCATTGCATCCTTGGGCTAAATCCCACTTGGTTGTGATATAGTCTCTTTTTAATGTGGTATTGAATTTGATATGCTAATATTTTATTAAGAATTTTTACATGTATGCTCAGTGGGGATATTGACTTGTGGTTTCCTTCCTTCCTTCCTTCCTTCCTTCCTTCCTTCCTTCCTTCCTTCCTTCCTTTCTTTCTTTCTTTTTTTGACAGGCAGAGTTAGACAGTGAGAGAGAGACAGAGAGAAAGGTCTTCCTTTTTCCATTGGTTCACCCCCCAAATGGCCACCATCCCCCAAATGGCCGCTGCGCCAATCCGATGTCAGGAGCCAAGTGCTTCCTCCTGGTCTCCCATGAGGGTGCAGGGCCCAAGGACCTATGCCATCCTCCACTGCCTTCCCGGGCCACAGCAGAGAGCTGGACTGGAAGAGGAGCAACCAGGACAGAATCTGGCAGCCCAACAGGGACTAGAACCCGGGGTGCTGGTGCCATAAGCGGAGGATTAGCCTAGCGAGCTGCGGTGCCAGCCTTGTAGTGTTTTTTTGTTTTGTTTTGTTTTTTTTTTTTTTTTTTTTTTTTTTTTGCGGTGCCTTTAGCCTTGCTGTGGGGGGGATACTGGCCCCATAAAATTAATTTGCAGTGTTCTATCCTCTTCAATTTTTTAGAAGAGTGTGAGTAAGAGTGGCATCACTTTTACTTTAAATGCTTGATATAATCTTCCAGTGAAGCTATTTGTTCTTGGGATTTTCTTTGTTGTGAAGTTTTTATATTTATTTAACTGCCATAATAGTTATGGATCTGTTTAGACTTTCTGGTCATATTTTTTCATAATTAGCTTTGGTAGGTTGTATATTTTAGTTTCTCCACTTTGTTAGTATACAATTGTTCATAGTTGTCTCTTATGATCCTCTTAATTCTTGTGTTCTCAGTTGTATGGTTTCTTTTTTCCTTTCTCATGGTACTGAGTAACTCTTCTGTGTATAAACTGTTTTCTCTATATAACTTCTTAGTCTCTATCTTAGTGCATTTTGAGCAACCAGAGTAGAATTCGTGAGAGTGGGTAATTTATAAGGAAAGGAGAACACACTGCCAGCATCTGGGCAAGGCCCTGTGCTGCTGCCTCTCCCGGTGGATGAACCGAAGGGCAGGTGAGCGCGTTTGGAAGAGCTCACTTTTCTAACAGAAGCATGCCGCTGGGTGTTTCTGACTTAGAGTCGGTTTTGGTGTTGTAAATATGTTCACCCCTGCTCTCTTGGTTACTATTTGTATGGAGCATATTTTCTCTAATTCCTTTCACTTTCTGTTTATGTGTCTGAAATCTAAGGAGGTTTTCTTTCGAGCAGTAAATGGGTGGTTCATATTTCTTCATTCAATCAGTCTATGTTTTTTGATTGATGAATATAATCCATTTAGATTTAAAGTGATTATCAGTAGGGAAGGATTAATTACTATTACCATTTTGTTACCTAGTTTCTGCTAGAATTGTAATTCTTCTCTTTGCATTTCTTCTCATTTTGTCTTTCTGTTTTGTTGATTTTTTTTGTACTTTATTTGATTCCATTCTGTTTTTGTTTTGTGTAACTTTCATAGGTATTTTTATGGCTATATTAGAAATTAAGTATTAGATCATATAGTTATGACAGTCTAATTTCAGTTAATAACAACTTAAGTTCAATCGTAAGCAAAAACTTTATACTTCAACATATAATTCCCTTTCATTTTTGCTATTATTATTATAATTTACATCTGTTCACATTATCTACCTTTAAACTATGTTATAGTTATTTTAATAGTTTTGTTTTTAAAGTTTATATTTGAATTAAAGGTGATTTACTGTTATATTAATACACTATTCTGTACTTGTCAATACATTTACCTTTACCAGTGAGTTTAATATTTTCTTATGCCCCTTTGCTGCTGGTTAGTAGCCATTCAACTTCCAGATCTCCTCTAGCATTTCTTGTAAGGTAAATCTACTGGTGATGAGTTCCCTAAGCTTGTTTATGTAAGAAAGTTCCTTCTCTTTCATTTTTGAAGGACAGTTTTGCGGAGTGTATCATTCTTGGTTGGAAGGATTTTTTTTTGACCCTTTGAATGTTTCATTTTATTTGCTTCTGACCTGGAAGGTTTCTGCTGAAAAAATTGCTTATAATATTGTGGGATTTTGTTGTACATGATAAGTCATTTTTATCTTGCGGCTTTCAAAATTCTCTGTCTCTGACTTTTGAAAATTTGATTGTGATATTTGTTAGTGTAGTTTTTTATTTGTTTCATTTAATTTGATGACATTTGGGATTCTTGGATCTGGATATCTGTTTTCTTTTTCAGATTTGGGATGTTTTCAGTGATTATTTCTTTAAATAAACTTTCTGGTTCTTTCTCTTTTCTCCCACTGGAAATTTCAAAATGCATATATTGATTTGCTTGATAATGGTTCACAAGACCTTAATATTTCTTGATCTTTTTTCCTTTAGTTTTCCTTTTGCTTCTCTGACTGGATAGTTAAAAATGATCCATTGTTGAGTTTGCTGAATTTTTCAGTTCATTTATTATTTTCTTTATCTCAATTAGAGTTAGAGACTCTTGGCTGTTTTTTATTTTTCTCATGAGTTGAAAAATCCCTTGTTCTTTCTGATGTCTGTCTGGATGTTCTCTGGTTCTGCAGTAGCAAGCTGTCTTACTCTCTGTCTTAGCGATCACTGGCATCTGAATTATTCTAGCCCCCTAAGTCAGGCAAGACAGATGCCAGTCCCTTGGGTAGTCTTCCAGGAGGCTGAAAGACTAGACATTCTCCTTCTCTTCCTTACTCCTGACAGAAAAACCTCACATTTTGCTTCTTTTCCTTCCTGTGCCAAGCCATTCTGGCTGCAGCAAACTGCCCTCTGCTCTTCATTGTTTTTAACATCGCTTATCTATCAAAACTAGGCTGGTTTCATCAGTATTCTGAATGTGGTAATTCAGAAACCAGTCCCCCTGCTAGCCCTCTGAATAGTCAAAACACTGGATTCACTTCCTGTGTTCCCTCGAGGAAATTATTGTAAGCTGCCATATTCTCTAAGTTTTGCTGGTTTGAGGGATGCCTTGATGTGGGTAAAGTGAAATTGCCCTTACCTGTTTCAATTTTGCTATTGTGTTTACTTGGGGTACTGTAACTCTTAACTGGATTCTGGAATTATTATAAAGGTGTTTTATTCCATCTTTTTGATGAGGAAACAATAACTGCAGCTTAGGGGAGTAATTAAAGGAAATCCTATGATAGAGCTGAGTGACAGACCTGGTAAATAATCAACCTTGAGTGGACTAGACCATGGAAACTCACATAATACAATGTTGTTCTTCAGGCTTCTGTGAACAATATTTCAAAGATCAACTTACATATATGCGGCTTGTGGATTTTAAACTTTTAGAATCAATCCTTAGACCAGCGAAAATCACTTAAGTTTTACTATAGAACAGAACATAAGTATTTTAAACTTCTACAGTGAGTGACATAGAGAAAATTCAAATAAGAGATTGGAGGAGGAAACAGTGAAAAGTGAAGAGCAGGTGAAGGATATATAATAACTTCATCTTATCAATTAAGGAGGTTTATAATTGGTAAATTAAAACAGACAGGAAGGCTTCCATATGTTACTGAGAAGCAACCAGTGGGGAAATTAAAACTTCGGATGTATCTCTGTAGTCAGATGGGAGGCTAGAAGGTAGGAAAGTGGGGTAAATGAACTAAGTCATCATTTAATTATGGAAGGATGTTTGTAAGTAAGGTCTAATATTAAATCCAGAAATAGTGGTATAAGTACATAATTTAGTGATGTATCTTTTAAAAAATTTTTATTTATTTATTTATTTTGAAAGAGTTAGAGGGAGAGTCAGAAAAATCCCACCTTGTGAATCATTCCCCAGATGGTTTGCAATGGCCAGCACTGGGCCAAGCTGAAGCCAGGAGGTCTACCATGTGAGTGGCAGGGGTCCATAAATTTGCGCCATCTTCCACTGCTTTCTCCAGGCCACTTGTAGGGAGCTGGATTGGAAGTGGAGCAGCTGGGACATGCAGAAGCACCCATTTGGGATGCCAGCATTGCAGGTGGCAGCTTTACCTATGCTTGCCACAATGCAGGCCCCCAGATGTACCTGTTGTCAAGTTTAAGAATGATTTCCTCTGAAGGAGGAGGAGGAGGAAGAAAAGGGGAGGAGGAGGAAGGCTGTGTGTGGGTGGTAGAGGAGAGATAGGAGGATGAAGTATCTATTGCTTTTACTTTTAATCTTTAGTGTATTTGATGTTGTAGCCATGTGCATATACTGTGTTGGCTGAAAATATTAAAAGTATTTAAATAAACTAGTATACTGTAAATATTTAATAAGTTGTAGCCATTATTAAATTAGTGAGTGGGCAAGGGAAAAATGAGGATTAGGGAGATATTACAACAAAGGATTTAAAGCATGGTTTGTTCTTTTTTTAAAAGATTTATTTATTTGAAAGTGTTACACAGAGAGAGGTCTTCCATTCACTGGTTCACTCCCCAGTTGGCTGCAACAGCTGGAGCTGAGCTGATCCAAAGCCAGGAGTCAGGAGCTTCTTTTGGGTCTCCCACGCAGGTGCAGGGTCCCAAGGACCTGGGCCATCTTCTATTGCTTTCCCAGGCCATAGCAGAGAGCTGGATTGAAAGTCGAGCAGCCAGGCCTCAAACCAGCACCCATATGGGATGTTGGCACTGCAGGTGGTGGCATTACCTGCTCCGCCACAGTGCCAGCCCCAAAGCATGGATTTTTTGTTGAATTTGAGACCTGTCTCTACCACTTCCTATGTAGATGATTCTGCCAACGCTGAGGTTCTGTAAAATGGGCATAACAATGTCCACTACAGTTGTTAAGATAATATGTAGTACTCCATATGAAGCTGTTAACATGGTGTCTATGCACTGTAAATAAAATAATGTTTACTTAATAATATTTCTTTTATCCAGTATTATTAATTTTAGAATAAATATAGTTTCAAAGAACTGGGGACCTTTGAGACTCAAAATGGACAATTTAAATTGCCTATAGCATTGTTTCTCTTTCAAAAGGGATTTATACCGGTCATTTGCAACAAAATGGGTGAATCTGGAAAACATCATGCTTGGTGAAGTAAGCCAGTCCCAAAGGGACAAACACCATATGTTCTTTCTGATCTGTGAAAACTAATAGAGCACCTAAAAGGAAACATTTAGAAGTGAAATTGACACTTTGAGAAGCAGTGACTTGAATAGCCCTTGTCTTGATTGTCTAGGAACAGTTTTTTTCTTCTCTTCATACTATTTGTTGAACTCTTTACTTAACATGGAGTTAATCATATCCGTATAAAGTCAATTGAAAAAAGATCTCAGTAAAAAATAAAAGTGGGAATAAGAGAGGGAGGAGGAAGTTTGTAACTGTAATGCTGTGTAATTCTGCATACATTCCTGTGGACTTACTTCTAAGGGTACAGTTTAAAAATTTCCCATGGGACCCTAAATCCCATTAAGCTGGGTGGAAAAAATGTCATCTTAAGTGTTAAAATGATCATACATATAGAATTAAGTGTTAAAGGAACCATATAAATAAGAACAGTGTCTGATAATAATAATAATAGATAGAATTAAAAAGGAGAGAGTGTTCCAACAAGGGAAGCAGTCCACACAGCAGATTCATAAAATGACAATTACTTTAAATAGCAATCTGACCTCAGAATCGGCCCTTAAGGCATTCTGATCTGGCCAAAAAGTCCGTGAGAGCATTTCAGGCATGGAAAGCCAAGACACTGTTGGAAAACAATGTCCTACATTAAGGATCTCTGTGAGAGAGACCCCAGTGGAAAGAAGTGGCTATCAAAGAAGGATGTGCTTTTCTCTGATGGGAGGAGAATACTTCCATTTTGCTTATTGCCTTGTCTAAATACTGATGCAGATTGTGGATTCAAAAGTCTTCCATAGCCCTGGCAGCTCATGTCAAGAGCCTCAGGTGATCATTGACATACATCAGAGTGTTGATTATTAAATTAACAATAGCAATCACTGTCTACTTACTTCCCATGCAGGACCTCTGTCCTCAATGAGTTGTATTATGAGAATTAACTGTAGGCCGGCGCTGCGGCTTACTAGGCTAATCCTCCACCTTGCGGCACTGGCACACCGGGTTCTAGTCCCGGTCGGGGCACCAGATTCTGTCCTGGTTGCCCCTCTTCCAGTCCAGCTCTCTGCTGTGGCCCAGGAGTGCAGTGGAGGATGGCCCAAGTACTTGGGCCCTGCACCCCATGGGAGACCAGGAGAAGCACCTGGCTCCTACCATCGGATCAGCGCGGTGCACCAGCCACGGCGGCCATTGGAGGGTGAACCAACGGCAAAGGAAGACCTTTCTCTCTGTCTCTATCTCTCTCTCACTGTCCACTCTGCCTGTCAAAAAAAAAAAAAAACTGTAAAACTTGTTCTCAGTTTTTTTTTTTTTTTGTGTGTGTGTATGTGTGCAAGTAGTTGAAATCTTTACTTAGTATAGAGTTGGTCTTCAGTGTATAGAATTACTTGTGAAAAAAAAATCTTAATGGAGAATGGGACTGGGAATGGGAGAGAGAGGAGAAGGTGGGATGGGAGAGTGTGTATGGAGGGAAGAATAACTATATTCCAAAAGTTGCACTGAGGAAATTTGTACTCATGAAATAAAATGTTTCTTTGGAGGAAAAAAAGGATTTGTAATGATATCTGTTCATTTATATAGGACAAACTGCAAAAATTAATGGAAACTTTAAGAATAAAACTGTATCAGCAATCTTTGGGGAGGCAATGTGGTCTCTGCAGCTGGTAAACTTGTATGTGAGTGTTCAGAGTAGAACTTTTTATGGGTTTGCTCTTAAAATAGACACAGGCTTATAATCCCCTAAGAATTTTCCAGTTGTGAAAGATAATATGGGCTGTCATTATGCACTGTTTCCAGTGAGATCTAAGAAAGTATCCTGTAATTAAATACATTAATATATTTTAAAAATATTTTTTATTTTTTGGAAAGGCATAGTGACAGATTAGGAGAGACAAAGAGAGAAAGATCTTCCATCCACTGATTCACTCCCCGAATGGCCGCAGCATCCTGGTCTGGGCCAGGCTGAAGCCAGGAACCAGGAACTCCATCCAGGTTTCCTATCCAGGTTTCCCACATGGGTGCCAGGTGCCCAAAGACTTGGGACATCTCCTGCTGCTTTCCCAGGCACGTTAGCAGTGAGATGGATTGGAAGTGGAGCAGTCAGGACCCAAATGACCCCCCAGTATTGGATGCCAGCATTGCAAGTGGCAGCTTAACCCGCTGTGCCACTACCCTGGCTCCTAAATTAATACTTTTGCATTGAAAATAGTAATTCACAAGTATGAAGTGAGCTAAGAAAATCACTGTATATGTACTATTACGAATTGGATATTGCTGCCAAATGACTAAATCAAAACACATTTTGCCATTAAGTAAATTTTGAAAAAAAAATTTCAATTTTTTGAACTATTTTTTTTGTATTTTTATTTGCAAAGAACATTTAAGGATCTGTATGGCCTTTGGAGATTTCTCTTCTCCATATACTTTAGGTAGATTTGTTGTTTGGTGCAAGGTTCTAAAATGAGAAGATTATATTTATTGGTAGTGATGAAACAGTCACTTTACTCTAAGATTATTGGGACTGTAGAATCATAAAAGCACTGAAAGGGAAGAGGTGTACAATTTGGGATATGCTCAAGCTGTCTTGCCCCAAATGGTAGAGTTAGAAACATACCAGGGGACTCCAATTTAATCCCATCAAGGTGGCATGTACCAATGCCATCTCACTAGTCCAAGTGATCAATTTCAGTTCACAATTGATCATAATGAAAGGACTAAGAGTCAAAGGGAGCACATAAACAAGTCTAGTACCTGCTAATACTAACCGATAGAATAAATAAAGGGGAGAGTGATCCAACATGGGAAGCGAGATACTCAGCAGACTCATAGAATGGCGGATGTCCTAAACAGCACTCTGGCCTCAGAATCAGCCCTAAAGGCATTCCGATCTGGCTGAAAAGCCCATGAGAGTATTTCAGGCATGGAAAGCCAAGACACTCTGGCAAAAGATCTCTGTGAGTGAGATCCCAGTGGAAAGAACAGGTCTTCAAAGAAGGAGGTACCTTTCTCTGAAGGGAGGAGAGAACCTCCACTTTGACTATGACCTTGTCTAAACAAGATAAGAGTCGGAGAACTCAAGGGGCTTCCATAGCCTTGGAAACTCATGACTGGTGCATAGGGAGATTACTGATGCCATAGACAGGAGTGTCAATTGGTAAAGTCAACAACAGGAGTCACTGTGCACTTACTCCTCATGTAGGATCTCTGTCCTTAATGTGCTGTACATTGAGACTTAATGCTATAACGAGTACTCAAACAGTATATTTCACTTTGTGTTTCTATGGGGGTGCAAACTGTTGAAATCTTTACTTAATGCATACTAAACTGATCTTCTGTAAAAAAAAAAAAAAGAAGAAGAAATTATCAATTCCCAACTTGACTCTCACTGGGATTAAACATGACAATAGGTCTGATCTGATTTCATCATCACTTAAAAAATCATCTATTATTTTTCACTTTATGTTTCTGTGTGGGAGCAAACTGTTGAAATCTTTACTTAATGTATGCTAAACTGATCTTCTGTATATAAAGAGAATCAAAAATGAATCCTCATGTGAATGGAAGGGGAGAGGGAGTGGGAAAGGGGAGGGTTGTGGGTGGGAGGGACGTTACGGGGGGGAAGCCATTGTAATCCATAAGCCGTACTTTGGAAATTTATATTCATTAAATAAAAGTTAAAAAAAAGATTATTGTTGGATTAAGGTCTATTGTTCTCTGTTGTTGTTATTTTTCTACAGGAAAAAGATTCTGTGGGTTTCTCAGTCAAATCCCAAGCAGACAGAACATTTCAGTTCTTGGATCACAGTCTGATGGAATCCATTAAACAGGGTGATCCAAAAGTGCGTGAATTCTTTAGGTTGCTTGCTGTCTGTCACACTGTAATGTCAGAGGAGAATAATGCAGGTAAGTTAAAAGTATCTGAGTGGCCGCCGCCATGGGTCAATAGGCTAATCCTCTACCTGCAGCGCCGGCACACAGGGTTCTAGTCCCGGTCGGGGCGCCGGATTCTGTCCCAGTTGCCCCTCTTCCAGGCCAGCTCTCTGCTGTGGCCCGGGAATGCAGTGGAGGATGGCCCAAGTGCTTGGGCCCTGCACCCCATGGGAGACCAGGATAAGTACCTGGCTCCTGCCATCGGATCAGCGCAGTGTGCCAGCCGTGGCGGCCATTGGAGGGTGAACCAACAGCAATAGGAAGACCTTTCTCTCTGTCTCTCTCACTGTCCACTCTGCCTGTCAAAAAAAAAAAAAAAAAAAAAGGGAGAGAGAGAAAGTATCTGAGTGGTGAACCTTGATTTTTGTTTTTGTTTTTTTAAAATCAGAACTAAAATTAAATTTGAATGAGTTATAAGTGAAAGCTAGAACTTTGCACAAGGACTTTACTAGTCACTAGTTTTTCTTTAATTCCTGAATGTTTTCCCCTAAAATGTGGAGATTTTGTGGCAAAAGAAATATGGGCAATGGAAAAGTCGGGACCCCCAAATACCAAAGTGGATGAAATACTTTTTAAAAAAATTTATTTACTTTAAATGCAGAGTTAGAGAAAGCGAGAGAGAAATCTTCACCCACTGGTTCACCCCCCAGTTGGCTGCAATGATTGGGGCTGGGCCAGGCTGAAGCCAGGACTCTGGAAGGAACACTGTCCAGGTCTCCCACGTGGGAGTCAGGAATTCAAGCACTTGGGCCATCTTCCACTGCTTTCCCAGGTGCAGTCGTGGGGAGCTGGGTTGGAAATGGAGCAGCTCGAACCAGTGCTCATATGGGATGCTGGCACCACAGGTGGCAACTTAACCCACCACACAACAGTGCTGGCTCCAGGGATGGAATATGTCTTATGATTGAGTACTATATTTGACTGTGAGCTTCCTGGCAGTAAGGACAAATGGGGAAATACACTCGAGTCACATAGCTCTATTAGTATGTGCATCTAACATGCCAACGAGCACAAGCCATAAGCTTAGACTGAATTTTCTCAGTAATGGGGGTAAATTACATTTATATTAGAAGAATACTCTGGGGCTGGCACCGTGGCTCACTTGGTTAATCCTCTGCCTGCAGTGCCTGCATCCCATATGGGCACTGGGTTCTAGTCCCAGTTGCTCCTCTTCTAGTCTGGCTCTCTGATGTGGCCAAGGAGGGCAGTGGAGGATGGCCCAAGTGCTTTGGTCCCTGCACCCGCATGGGAGACCAGGAGGAAGCACCTGGCTCCTGGCTTTGGATCGGTGTAGCTATGGCCATGGTGGCCATTTTGGGGGGTGGTCCAATGGAAGAAAGACCTTTCTCTCTGTCTCTTTCTCTCACTGTCTAACTCTACCTGTCAAATAAAAAAAATTTAAAAAAGAAGAATACCCTTAATTAGTCTGCATTATGAGAAAGTCTTCATTTTTATAAGATGGTTGTTTGAATTTCAGGCTTTTCAGAATAGAACAAAACCATCTGGGCCACTTTAAATTTTGGAGCTGTGAGACAGGTAGATAATAATTTAGTGAATCAGGTTCTTGTTCCAACAGAGCCCAATTTATGCCATTTACAAGTTATATGTTTCTTTACTTCCAACTATCAAGTTAAAAGTAATATCGTCTTAAAAGTGAAAGCTGCTGCATATAGACTTGTGTTGTGTACTATATAGGCATACATACATGTAAATGTATATATTTTTATATATGTAGCTATATACTTGTACCTCTCCCTCCCATCCAAATAGATATATATTTTGTATTTTGTTGTTGTTTGTTTGTTTTCCTGTTGGGACTACATTGAAGCCACAGTTTTATCCTTGATGATGCCAGATTAACCCATTCCTCAGATTTTAATCACTTTAAGGATTCACATAATTATATTTATGACTTTAATTGAACTTTATAATACTAATGCCAACAAGGAATTATTGTATTTTCATCTGAGGGTGTGCCTTTAAGTAAGTTTCTTTTATCTCTGCCTCTGAGTTCACTTCATTCCCAAAACTCTATTTTATTTTAATAGCAATCTGTTTTCCATTTAATGTTATGATATTTTTTAGACATCTTTGAGCATATTAATTAAACTTAATTTGAAATTTTCTTTTGTTTCCTCTATTATGTTTTATTTTATCGAGTGTCCTGTTTTCTTGAGTGCCATGTCTAACTTTCATGCTGTTCTCAAATGCTTGGTGATTTGTGGCTGCCTGTTCTTACTTGTGTTTAAGAACCTCTGTTGGAGAATGTAGATTCCCATTGAAGTACAGTGGTCTGCCTCCTGTGATGTGTTGGGAGAGGCAGAACAAATAACTTGTCTTCTGGATGTGGGGTTCCTCCCTCTTGGAATTCATGATTCCTGGGGTTATTGTTTCACTTTCCAGATCTGGTGCTGGGTGTCTATACCATGGTCCCATTGGAGAGAGGGTTGCAATTAAGTTTCTGGCCTGGAAGAAAATTATCAATTCTTTTCTTTATCTTTTCTTCATGGAATTCTTTTTTTTTTTTAATTTTTATTTCAGAAATGCAGAGTTAAAGCGGGAGAGGGAGAGGAAGGGAGAGAGATGCTTTCCAATCCTTGTTTCATTCCCCAAATGGTCACAACGGCTAGGGCTGGGCCAGGCTGAAGTCAGGAGCCAACAGTACTATCTGGGTCTCCCACATGGGTGCAAGGACCCAAAGACTTGGGCCATCTTCTGCTGCTTTCCCAGGTGCATTAGCAGGGATCTGGATTGAAAGTGGAATTAGAACTGGTGCCCATATGGGATGCCAGCGTTTCAGACTATCGCTTAATCCACTCACGATGATGTTTAGCCCCTTGTGGAATTCTGAAGCTACTTTGGGCCCTTTGGTCTCTGGTCTCAGTACTCAAATCTTGAAGGCTTCCTCAGAAATAGTGTACACTTTGTGTAGAAAAATCTGTTTAAGGTTTTTTTCCAAGGGGCAAATGTCACTGCAGCCTGTTGTTGAGAGTAAGCTGGCAGGAGGAGAAACCCAGATGGTCTAGGAGTGTTGAATGGAATTCTTTAATCCGTTTTTACTGACCATGTACTCATGACCCCTTTGGCTATTCTCATTTGTTTTTTTTTTTAAACTTTTATTTAATAAATATAAATTTCCAAAGTACAACTTTTGGATTATAGCAGCTTTTCCCCCCATAACCTCCCTCCCATCCGCAACCATCCCATCTCCCGCTCCCTCTCCCATCCCATTCACATCAATATTCATTTTCAATTATCTTTATATACAGAAGATCAACTTAGTATATACTAAGTAAAGATTTCAACAGACTGCACCCACACAGACACACAAAGTATAGAGTACTGTTTGGGTAGTAGTTCTTCCATTAATTCGCATAGTACAACACATTAAGGACTGAGGTCCTACATGGGGAGTAAGTAAACAATTGACACTCTTATTTATGACGTCAGTAATCACCTGAGGCTCTTGTCATGAGCTGCCAACTCTGATCTTATTTAGACAAGGTCATAGTCAAAGTGGAAGTTCTCTCCTCCCTTCAGAGAAAGGTACTGCCACCTTTGATGGCCCATTCTTTCTGCTGGGATCTCACTCACAGAGATCTTTCATTTAGGTTTTTTTTTTTTTTTTTTTTTTTTGCCAGAGTGTCTTGGCTTTCCATGCCTGCGAAACTCTCATGGGCTTTTTAGCCAGATGAGAATGCCTTAAGGATTGATTCTAAGGCTAGAATGCTGTTTAGGGCATTTGCCATTCTATGAGTCTGCTGTGTATCCTGCTTTCCATGTAGGATCATTCTCTCCTTTTTAATTCTATCAATTATTATTTGCAGACACTGGTGTTATTTATGTAATCCCTTTGACACTTAATCCTATCTTTTTGATCAATTATGAACTTAAACTGATCACTTTAACAAGTAAGATGGCATTGGTACATGCCACCTTGATGGGATGGAATTGGAATCCCCTGGCACATTTCTAGCTCTACCATTAGGGGTAAGTCCGAGTGAGCATGTGCCGAACTGTACATCTCCTCCCTCTCTTATTCCCACTCTTATATTTAACAGGGATCACTTTTCAGTTAAATTTAAATGCCCAAGTTTGATTATAACTGCCCTGTAGTGAGTCTTGAAATCTGGTATTGTGTTGTGATGCCTCCGGCTTTGTTTTTGTTGTACAAGATTGCTTTAGCTATTCAAGGTCTCATGTGCCTCCATAGGAATTTCAGCATCATTTTTTCCAGATCTGAGAAGGTCTTTGATATTTTGATTGGTATCACATTGGATCTATAAATTGCTTTTGGGAGAATGGACATTTGGTGATATTGATTCTTCCAATCCATGAGCATGGAAGATTTTTCCATTTTTTGGTATCCTCTTCTATTTCTTTCTTTAAGATTTTGTAATTCTCATCGTAGAGATCTTTAACGTCCTTGGTTAAGTTTATTCCAAGGTATTTGATTGTTTTTGTAGCTATTGTGAATGGGATTGATCTTAGCAGTTCTTCCTCAGCCGTGGCATTGCCTGTGTATACAAGGGCTGTTGATTTTTGTGCATTGGTTTTATATCCTGCTACTTTGCCAAAATCTTCTATGAGTTCCAATAGTCTCTTAGTAGAGTTCTTTGGGTCCCCTAAATAAAGAATCATATCATCTGCAAAGAGGGAAAGTTTGAGTTTTTCCTTCCCAATTTGGTATCCCTTTAATTTCTTTTTCTTGCCTAATGGCTCTGGCTAAAACTTCCAGTACTATATTGAATAGCAATGGTGAGTACCTGTCTGGTACCAGATCTCAGTGGAAATGCTTCCCACTTTTCCCCCATTCAATAGGATGCTGGCCGTGGGTTTTTCATAAATTGCTTTGATTGTATTGAGGAATGTTCCTTCCATACCCAGTTTGCTTAGAGTTTTCATCATGAAAGGGTGTTGTATCTTATCAAATGCTTTCTCTGCATCTATTGAGATAATCATATGGTTTTTCT